TAATTGCTTTATCTTGAAGAACAGCCCCCGCCCCAAACTAAACTTGAAACTTTAAACGCGAATATCTCGAAATGGTGTTTGCGGTGATATGGATAGGCGAAAGACTATTGAATCGATTTTCTTCAAATTTTTATACCCTTGCAGAGGGTATTATAATTTTGGTCAAAAGTGTGCAACGCAGTGAAGGAGACATCTCCGACCCTATAAAGTATATATATTCTTGATCAGGATCACCTCCTGAGTTGATATAGCCATGTCCGTCTGTCCGTCTGTCCGTCTGTCCGTCTGTCCGTCTGTCTGTTTCTACGCAAACTAGTCTCTCAGTTTTAAAGCTATCGGATTGAAACTTTGCACACACCCTTCTTTCCTTTGCACGCAGTATATAAGTCGGAACGGCCGGGATCGGCCGACTATATCCTATAGCTGCCATATAACTGATTGATCGGAAATGCCATAACTTTCGTGTTTGTAAAGTTAGGAAGTTGGGATTTTCTATGGGTTTTATATTTGGCCAATCAATCCGACCTACCAAATTTCATAAGGATCGGCCGGCTATATCCTATAGCTGCCATATAACTGATTGATCGGAAATGCCATAACTTTGGTGTTTGTAAAGTTAGAAAGTTGGGATTTTCTATGGGTTTTATATTTGGCCAATCAATCCGACCTACCAAATTTCATAAGGATCGGCCGACTATATCCTATAGCTGCCATATAACTGATTGATCGGAAATGCCATAACTTTGGTGTTTGTTAAGTTAGGAAGTTGGGATTTTCTATGGATTTTATTTTTGGCCAATCAATCCGACCTACCAAATTTCATAAGGATCGGCCGACTATATCCTATAGCTGCCATATAACTGATTGATCGGAAATGCCATAACTTTGGTGTTTGTAAAGTTAGGAAGTTGGGATTTTCTATGGATTTTATTTTTGGCCAATCAATCCGACCTATCAAATTTCATAAGGATCGGCCGACTATATCCTATAGCTGCCATATAACTGAACGATTGGAAATGCCATAACTTTGTTGTTGTTAAAGTTAGGAAGTTCGGATTTTTTATGAGTATTAAGAATGCATCATATGAATAATTTTGGAGAATATAATTTACAGAGTATTCTGCAAGGGTATATCAACTTCGGCTCCGCACGAAGTTAGCTTTCATTTCTTGTTATAATTTTTTTTTGTATATACGGGAACGTTTTATGCAAAAAATGAATTTTTTGGTCGGTAGAGGTTTTACAAAAAAAAATCCATTTCGGCGAAATAAAAATTTGTGCATGAAAAATCGATCGTTCAAGTACAAACAAAATTCATTACGAACATTTAAAAAACAAGAAAGGAAAGCTAACTTCGGGCGGAGCCGAAGTTGATATACCCTTGCAGAATACTCTGTAAATTATATTCTCCAAAATTATTCATATGATGCATTCTTAATACTCATAAAAAATCCCAACTTCCTAACTTTAAAAACACTAAAGTTATGGCATTTCCGATCAATCAGTTATATGGCAGCTATAGGATATAGTCGGCCGATCCTTATGAAATTTGGTAGGTCGGATTGATTGGCCAAATATAAAACCCATAGAAAATTCCAATTTCCTAACTTTACAAACACCAAAGTTATGGCATTTCCGATCAATCAGTTGTATGGCGGCTATAGGATATAGTCGGCCGATCCCGTTCCGACTTATATACTGAGTGCAAATAAACGAAGGGTGTGTGCAAAGTTTCAATTCGATATCTTCAAAACTGAGAGACTAGTTCACGTAGAAACAGACAGACGGACAGACAGACGGACAGACGGACATGGCTATATCAACTCAGGAGGTGATCCTGATCAAGAATATATATACTTTATAGGGTCGGAGATCTCTCCTTCACTGTGTTGCACACTTTTGACCAAAATTATAATACCTTCTGCAAGGGTATAAAAATTGCTCCTGTGTGTCAAAGAGTAAGCCATGGTGGTGGAAGCGTTATGTTCTGGGGATCAGTTTCCTATAATGGTGTGGGAGACTTGGTTCCTATCGACGGATCCATGAACCAGAACCGATATTTAGATACCTTAAACAATTATGCATTTCCCTCCGGCGACAGATTAATAGGAAAGGAATTTATTTTCCAACAGGACAACGCTCCTTGCCATAAGGCCAAAATGATTACTAGGTTTTTAAGAGATGTTGGGGTGAAAACCCTCGATTGGCCACCACAAAGTCCTGACTTAAACATTATTGAAAATGTGTGGTCGCTAATAAAGCGAAATAAAAGCACTGATCTGACCAGGAGAAAAGCAGAAACCATTACTGAGGTCACAATGATCTGGAAAGATATTCCTTTAAAATACCTTCAAACCTTGGTCGATTCCGTTACAAATCGCCTCCAAAAGGTGATAGACACCAAAGGAGGTTATATTTTTTATTAATTTCCAGTTTATAATAAATTTCTAATACATTATAGTTAAATAAAACGAAAAAAAAATGTCAAAATACTTACGCCACCCATGAAATGACGTTGTTTTTAGTTTTAATGAAATAAAAATGAAAAATTGTTATATATATAATTTAATACATTGTAACTAAATGAATTATGTACAATCCATAAATATTTTTGTCTTTAAAATAAATACAAATTGAACAAGAAAGGAAAGCTAACTTCGGGCGGAGCCGAAGTTGATATACCCTTGCAGAATACTCTGTAAATTATATTCTCCAAAATTATTCATATGATGCATTCTTAATACTCAGAAAAAATCCTAACTTCCTAACTTTAAAAACACCAAAGTAATGACATTTCCAATCGTTTAGTTATATGGCAGCTATAGGATATAGTCGGCCGATCCTTATGAAATTCGGCATGTCGGATTGATTAGCCAAATATAAAACCCATAGAAAATCCCAACATTCTAACTTTACAAACACCAAAGTTATGGCATTTCCGATCAATCAGTTATATGGCAGCTATAGGATATAGTCGGCCGATCCTTATGAAATTCGGCATGTCGGATTGATTAGCCAAATATAAAACCCTTAGAAAATCCCAACATTCTAACTTTACAAACACCAAAGATATGGCATTTCCGATCAATCAGTTATATGGCAGCTATAGGATATAGTCGGCCGATCCCGGCCGTTCCGACATATATACTGCGTGCAAAGGAAAGAAGGGTATGTGCAAAGTTTCAATTCGATAGCTTTAAAACTGAGAGACTAGTTTGCGTAGAAACAGACAGACGGACAGACAGACGGACAGACGGACATGGCTATATCAACTCAGGAGGTGATCCTGATCAAGAATATATATACTTTATAGGGTCGGAGATGTCTCCTTCACTGCGTTGCACACTTTTGACCAAAATTATAATACCCTCTGCAAGGGTATAAAAATAAACTGAGGCATCGCCATGACAAAATATATATGCCGACCAGTGTAGTCGGCCGATCCCGGCCGTTCCGACTTATATACTGCGTGCAAAGGAAAGAAGGGTGTGTGCAAAGTTTCAATTCGATATCTTCAAAACTGAGAGACTAGTTCGCGTATAAGCAGACAGACGGACGGACAGACGGACATGACTAGGTCGACTCTTGTGGTGATGCTGATCAAGAAAATTTATAATTTATAGAGTCATTTCACTGCGTTGTAAACTTTTGACTGAAATTTTAATACCCTCTGCAAGGGTATAAAAAGAAAACAAGAGAGAACGCTATAGTCGGGTGCCCCGACTATCAGATACCCGTTACTCAGGTAAAGGGAGTGCGAGGGAGATGGAGATAGAAACTTTGATCACGCATAACTTTTTAACGAATGGTCCGATTTGACAAATTTCTTCTACATTTCGATAGGTATTGATAAACACAATAAAACTGCATTTTTACTTTTCCGAAATATTTAAATTTTTAAAATCGTATATAAGCGATTGTGGGCGTTAAAGGGGGCGTGGCACCTTTTTGAAACAAACTTGCGCTGCGTAGGAACTCCTAGAATCCTCCTAGCTTTTATAGTTTCCGAGATCTCAGCGTTCATACGGACAGACAGACAGACGGACAGACAGACGGACAGACAGACGGACAGACGGACATGGCTATATCGACTCGGCTAGTGACCCTGATCAAGAATATATATACTTTATAGGGTCGGAAACGCTTCTTTCTAGCTGTTACATACTTTTGCACGAATACAATATACCCTTTTACTCTACGAGTAACGGGTATAAAAATAGTTTCAGACAATATATAGATTGTTAGATAGTAAGACAATTAGTTTTTGCATATTTTTATACCAGCTAAAGCCAAATTCCGCACTTTTGGGAGACCGGAAAAAGACGCTGGAACTCGCAACAGCGAAAAGTGTGCTGTTGCCTACAATCTTTTTGTTTTACTTGGCTCTATTGGAATTTTTAGGCGTTCGCCAGCTGAATAGATATAGTCTTTCTAGTGTCAACACTTTGTACAGTTCATCCCAACTAAGTTTGGTAGGGTTTTACTGTCCATTAGCAGAAACAAATCAATTTGAGCGATTTAACAAAAACAAAATGTCGACAGCAGAAATTAAATTTGTTGTTGGCTTGGCGGAATGTATTGTATCAAAGGCATTTTATTGGCAAGTTTCACTGGATGAAACTTCAGTTATTCTCTTTATTATTCTCTTTCCGTAAAAGTAAAAAGGTAATAATTATATAAATTGAAGCTGTTAAGTCCGGTTTATTGTACTCTATAAAAACTATATTGAACAAATTGAGTGAAAAAACTTTTATTAAGGGGCGATCCTTACTTTTTCACATCATAAAGAGGTATGTTTCTTTTATACAGCCGCGGTACAAATTTTCTGCTAAAAATTATAACGTGCTCTGCAAGGATATAGTTACAGGCATTGTCTATTCCAAAGTATATAAACAGACCTTATTATTATCTTCTCATTAAATATGTCGTTCTTTATTATTAACTGCTAATAGCCCAAAAACATAAAGATAACTTTTGAAAATGTTTCTTTTCATTTTTAGATATTATGAAACAGGATCGATTAAACCTCGAGCGATAGGTGGTTCAAAACCACGAGTAGCTACAACCCCGGTCGTACAAAAAATTGCTGATGATAAACGGGAATGTCACAGCATATTTGCGTGGGAAATACGGGATCGACTGTTGTCCGAACAAGTTTGCAATAGTGATAACATTCCAAGTGTAAGTTTTTAGTTTTCAAATATCATGCATGTTAAAAACTATATTGAAATTATTAACTATATTAAATTCCAATAATTATACCCTTGCAGAGGGTATTATAATTTTGGTCAAAAGTGTGCAACGCAGTGAAGGAGACATCTCCGACCTTATAAAGTATATATATTCTTGATCAGGATCACCTCCTGAGTTGATATAGCCATGTCCGTCTGTCCGTCTGTCCGTCTGTCCGTCTGTCTGTCCGTCTGTCTGTCCGTCTGTCTGTCCGTCTGTCTGTTTCTACGCGAACTAGTCTCTCAGTTTTAAAGATATCGAATTGAAACTTTGCACACACCCTTCTTTCCTTTGCACGCAGTATATAAGTCGGAACGGCCGGGATCGGCCGACTATATCCTATAGCTGCCATATAACTGAACGATCGGAAATGCCATAACTTTGGTGTTTGTAAAGTTAGGAAGTTGGGATTTTCTATGGGTTTTGTATTTGCCTAATCAATCCGACATGCCGAATTTCATAAGGATCGGCCGACTATATCCTATAGCTTCCATATAACTGATTGATCGGAAATGCCATAACTTTGGTGTTTGTAAAGTTAGAATGTTGGGATTTTCTATGGGTGTTATATTTGGCCAGCCAATCCGACCTACCAAATTTTATAAGGATCGGCCGATTATATCCTATAGCTGACATATAACTGAACGATTGGAAATGTCATAACTTTGGTGTTTTTAAAGTTAGGAAGTTGGGATTTTTTATGAGTATTAAGAATGCATCATATGAATAATTTTGGAGAATATAATTTACAGAGTATTCTGCAAGGGTATATCAACTTCGGCTCCGCCCGAAGTTAGCTTTCCTTTCTTGTTTTTTTTTTTTTTTATATTTCTTCGATTTCTCTGTGGGAGCTATATAATATAGATTTCCTATTTGAATTTGATTAAAGCCATAATTCCTTAGTATTTATTACCACATCCCAAAAAACAAAAAAAAAACACTAACAAGAAAGGAAAGCTAACTTCGGGCGAAGCCGATGTTGATATACCCTTGCAGAATATTATGTACATTATATTCTCCAAAATTATTCATATGATGCATTCTTAATACTCAAAAAAAATCCCAACTTCCTAACTTTAACAAGAGAGAACGCTATAGTCGGGTGCCCCGACTATCAGATACCCGTTACTCAGGTAAAGGGAGTGCGAGGGAGATGGAGATAGAAACTTTGATCACGCATAACTTTTTAACGAATGGTCCGATTTGAAAAATTTCTTCTACATTTCGATAGGTATTGATAAACACAATAAAACTGCATTTTTACTTTTCCGAAATATTTAAATTTTTAAAATCGTATATAAGCGATTGTGGGCGTTAAAGGGGGCGTGGCACCTTTTTGAAACAAACTTGCGCTGCGTAGGAACTCCTAGAATCCTCCTAGCTTTTATAGTTTCCGAGATCTCAGCGTTCATACGGACAGACAGACAGACGGACAGACAGACGGACAGACAGACGGACAGACAGACGGACAGACAGACGGACAGACAGTCGGACAGACGGACATGGCTATATCGACTCGGCTAGTGACCCTGATCAAGAATATATATACTTTATAGGGTCGGAAACGCTTCTTTCTAGCTTTTGCACGAATACAATATACCCTTTTACTCTACGAGTAACGGGTATAAAAATAGTTTCAGACAATATATAGATTGTTAGATAGTAAGACAATTAGTTTTTGCATATTTTTATACCAGCTAAAGCCAAATTCCGCACTTTTGGGAGACCGGAAAAAGACGCTGGAACTCGCAACAGCGAAAAGTGTGCTGTTGCCTACAATCTTTTTGTTTTACTTGGCTCTATTGGAATTTTTAGGCGTTCGCCAGCTGAATAGATATAGTCTTTCTAGTGTCAACACTTTGTACAGTTCATCCCAACTAAGTTTGGTAGGGTTTTACTGTCCATTAGCAGAAACAAATCAATTTGAGCGATTTAACAAAAACAAAATGTCGACAGCAGAAATTAAATTTGTTGTTGGCTTGGCGGAATGTATTGTATCAAAGGCATTTTATTGGCAAGTTTCACTGGATGAAACTTCAGTTATTCTCTTTATTATTCTCTTTCCGTAAAAGTAAAAAGGTAATAATTATATAAATTGGAGCTGGTAAGTCCGGTTTATTGTACTCTATAAAAACTATATTGAACAAATTGAGTGAAAAAACTTTTATTAAGGGTCGATCCTTACTTTTTCACATCATAAAGAGGTATGTTTCTTTTATACAGCCGCGGTACAAATTTTCTGCTAAAAATTATAACGTGCTCTGCAAGGATATAGTTACAGGCATTGTCTATTCCAAAGTATATAAACAGACCTTATTATTATCTTCTCATTAAATATGTCGTTCTTTATTATTAACTGCTAATAGCCCAAAAACATAAAGATAACTTTTGAAAATGTTTCTTTTCATTTTTAGATATTATGAAACAGGATCGATTAAACCTCGAGCGATAGGTGGTTCAAAACCACGAGTAGCTACAACCCCGGTCGTACAAAAAATTGCTGATTATAAACGGGAATGTCCCAGCATATTTGCGTGGGAAATACGGGATCGACTGCTGTCCGAACAAGTTAACAATAGTGATAACATTCCAAGTGTAAGTTTTTAGTTTTCAAATATCATGCATGTTAAAAACTATATTGAAATTATTAACTATATTAAATTCCAACAAGAAAGAAAAGCTAACTTCGGGCGGAGCCGAAGTTGATATACCCTTGCAGAATATTCTGTAAATTATATTCTCCAAAATTATTCATATGATGCAATCTTAATACTCATAAAAAATCCCAACTTCCTAACTTTAAAAACACCAAAGTTATGGCATTTCCAATCGTTCAGTTATATGGCAGCTATAGGATATAGTCGGCCGATCCTTATGAAATTTGATAGGTTGGATTGATTGGTTAAAAATAGAACCCATAGAAAATCCCAACTTCCTAACTTAACAAAAACCAAAGTTGTGGCATTTCCGATCAATCAGTTATATGGTGGCTATAGGATATAGTCGGCCGATCCTTATGAAATTTGGTAGTTCGGATTGATAGGCCAAATATAACACCCATAGAAAATCCCAACTTCCTAACTTCACAAACACCAAAGTTATGGCATTTCCGATCAATCAGTTATATGGCAGCTATAGGATATAGTCGGCCGATCTTTATGAAATTTGGTAGGTCGGATTGATTGGCCAAATATAAAACCCATATAAAATTCCAACTTCCTAACTTAACAAACAGCAGAGTTATGGCATTTCCGATCAATCAGTTATATGGCAGCTATAGGATATAGTCGGCCGATCCCGGCCGTTCCGACTTATATACTGCGTGCAAAGGAAAGAAGGGTGTGTGCAAAGTTTCAATTCGATATCTTTAAAACTGAGAGACTAGTTCGCGTAGAAACAGACAGACGGACAGACAGACGGACAGACAGACGGACAGACAGACGGACAGACAGACGGACAGACGGACAGACGGACATGGCTATATCAACTCAGGAGGTGATCCTGATCAAGAATATATATACTTTATAGGGTCGGAGATGTCTCCTTCACTGCGTTGCACACTTTTGACCAAAATTATAATACCCTCTGCAAGGGTATAATAATTTTTTTTTTTTTTATATATTTCTTCGATTTTTCTGTGGGATATAGATTTCCTATTTGAATTTGATTAAAGCCATAATTCCTTAGTATTTATTACCACATCCCAAAAAAAAAAAAAAACACTAACAAGAAAGGAAAGCTAACTTCGGGCGAAGCCGATGTTGATATACCCTTGCAGAATATTATGTACATTATATTCTCCAAAATTATTCATATGATGCATTCTTAATACTCAAAAAAATCCCAACTTCCTAACTTTAACAAGAGAGAACGCTATAGTCGGGTGCCCCGACTATCAGATACCCGTTACTCAGGTAAAGGGAGTGCGAGGGAGATGGAGATAGAAACTTTGATCACGCATAACTTTTTAACGAATGGTCCGATTTGAAAAATTTCTTCTACATTTCGATAGGTATTGATAAACACAATAAAACTGCATTTTTACTTTTCCGAAATATTTAAATTTTTAAAATCGTATATAAGCGATTGTGGGCGTTAAAGGGGGCGTGGCACCTTTTTGAAACAAACTTGCGCTGCGTAGGAACTCCTAGAATCCTCCTAGCTTTTATAGTTTCCGAGATCTCAGCGTTCATACGGACAGACAGACAGACGGACAGACAGACGGACAGACAGACGGACAGACAGACGGACAGACAGACGGACAGACAGTCGGACAGACGGACATGGCTATATCGACTCGGCTAGTGACCCTGATCAAGAATATATATACTTTATAGGGTCGGAAACGCTTCTTTCTAGCTTTTGCACGAATACAATATACCCTTTTACTCTACGAGTAACGGGTATAAAAATAGTTTCAGACAATATATAGATTGTTAGATAGTAAGACAATTAGTTTTTGCATATTTTTATACCAGCTAAAGCCAAATTCCGCACTTTTGGGAGACCGGAAAAAGACGCTGGAACTCGCAACAGCGAAAAGTGTGCTGTTGCCTACAATCTTTTTGTTTTACTTGGCTCTATTGGAATTTTTAGGCGTTCGCCAGCTGAATAGATATAGTCTTTCTAGTGTCAACACTTTGTACAGTTCATCCCAACTAAGTTTGGTAGGGTTTTACTGTCCATTAGCAGAAACAAATCAATTTGAGCGATTTAACAAAAACAAAATGTCGACAGCAGAAATTAAATTTGTTGTTGGCTTGGCGGAATGTATTGTATCAAAGGCATTTTATTGGCAAGTTTCACTGGATGAAACTTCAGTTATTCTCTTTATTATTCTCTTTCCGTAAAAGTAAAAAGGTAATAATTATATAAATTGAAGCTGTTAAGTCCGGTTTATTGTACTCTATAAAAACTATATTGAACAAATTGAGTGAAAAAACTTTTATTAAGGGGCGATCCTTACTTTTTCACATCATAAAGAGGTATGTTTCTTTTATACAGCCGCGGTACAAATTTTCTGCTAAAAATTATAACGTGCTCTGCAAGGATATAGTTACAGGCATTGTCTATTCCAAAGTATATAAACAGACCTTATTATTATCTTCTCATTAAATATGTCGTTCTTTATTATTAACTGCTAATAGCCCAAAAACATAAAGATAACTTTTGAAAATGTTTCTTTTCATTTTTAGATATTATGAAACAGGATCGATTAAACCTCGAGCGATAGGTGGTTCAAAACCACGAGTAGCTACAACCCCGGTCGTACAAAAAATTGCTGATTATAAACGGGAATGTCCCAGCATATTTGCGTGGGAAATACGGGATCGACTGCTGTCCGAACAAGTTAACAATAGTGATAACATTCCAAGTGTAAGTTTTTAGTTTTCAAATATCATGCATGTTAAAAACTATATTGAAATTATTAACTATATTAAATTCCAACAAGAAAGAAAAGCTAACTTCGGGCGGAGCCGAAGTTGATATACCCTTGCAGAATATTCTGTAAATTATATTCTCCAAAATTATTCATATGATGCAATCTTAATACTCATAAAAAATCCCAACTTCCTAACTTTAAAAACACCAAAGTTATGGCATTTCCAATCGTTCAGTTATATGGCAGCTATAGGATATAGTCGGCCGATCCTTATGAAATTTGATAGGTTGGATTGATTGGTTAAAAATAGAACCCATAGAAAATCCCAACTTCCTAACTTAACAAAAACCAAAGTTGTGGCATTTCCGATCAATCAGTTATATGGTGGCTATAGGATATAGTCGGCCGATCCTTATGAAATTTGGTAGTTCGGATTGATAGGCCAAATATAACACCCATAGAAAATCCCAACTTCCTAACTTCACAAACACCAAAGTTATGGCATTTCCGATCAATCAGTTATATGGCAGCTATAGGATATAGTCGGCCGATCTTTATGAAATTTGGTAGGTCGGATTGATTGGCCAAATATAAAACCCATATAAAATTCCAACTTCCTAACTTAACAAACAGCAGAGTTATGGCATTTCCGATCAATCAGTTATATGGCAGCTATAGGATATAGTCGGCCGATCCCGGCCGTTCCGACTTATATACTGCGTGCAAAGGAAAGAAGGGTGTGTGCAAAGTTTCAATTCGATATCTTTAAAACTGAGAGACTAGTTCGCGTAGAAACAGACAGACGGACAGACAGACGGACAGACAGACGGACAGACAGACGGACAGACAGACGGACAGACGGACAGACGGACATGGCTATATCAACTCAGGAGGTGATCCTGATCAAGAATATATATACTTTATAGGGTCGGAGATGTCTCCTTCACTGCGTTGCACACTTTTGACCAAAATTATAATACCCTCTGCAAGGGTATAATAATTTTTTTTTTTTTTATATATTTCTTCGATTTTTCTGTGGGATATAGATTTCCTATTTGAATTTGATTAAAGCCATAATTCCTTAGTATTTATTACCACATCCCAAAAAACAAAAAAAAAACACTAACAAGAAAGGAAAGCTAACTTCGGGCGAAGCCGATGTTGATATACCCTTGCAGAATATTATGTACATTATATTCTCCAAAATTATTCATATGATGCATTCTTAATACTCAAAAAAAATCCCAACTTCCTAACTTTAACAAGAGAGAACGCTATAGTCGGGTGCCCCGACTATCAGATACCCGTTACTCAGGTAAAGGGAGTGCGAGGGAGATGGAGATAGAAACTTTGATCACGCATAACTTTTTAACGAATGGTCCGATTTGAAAAATTTCTTCTACATTTCGATAGGTATTGATAAACACAATAAAACTGCATTTTTACTTTTCCGAAATATTTAAATTTTTAAAATCGTATATAAGCGATTGTGGGCGTTAAAGGGGGCGTGGCACCTTTTTGAAACAAACTTGCGCTGCGTAGGAACTCCTAGAATCTGCATGCAAAATGCCAATCTTCTAGCTTTTAAAGTTTCCGAGATCTCAGCGTTCATACGGACGGACAGACGGACAGACGGACATGGCTATATCGACTCGGCTAGTGACCCTGATCAAGAAACGCTTCCTTCTAGATGTTACATACTTTTGCACGAATACAATATACCCTTTTACTCTACGAGTAACGGGTATAAAAACACCAAAGTTATGGCATTTCCGATAGTTCAGTTATATGACAGCTATAGGATATAGTCGGCCGATCCTTATTAAATTTGGTAAGTCGTATTGATTGGCCAAAAATAAAACCCATAGAAAATCCCAACTTTCTAACTTTACAAACACCAAGGTTATGGCATTTCCGATCAATCAGTTATATGGCAGCTATAGGATATAGTCGGCCGATCCTTATGAAATTTGATAGGTCGGGTTGATTGTCCAAAAATAAAACCTATAGAAAATCCCAGCTTCCTAACTTTACAAACATCAAAGTTATGGCATTTCCGATCAATCAGTTATATGGCAGCTATAGGATATAGTCGGCCGATCCCGGCCGTTCCGACATATACTGCGTGCAAAGGAAAGAAGGGTGTGTGCAAAGTTTCAGTTCGATATCTTTAAAACTGAGAGACTAGTTTGCGTAGAAACAGACAGACGGACAGACAGACGGACAGACAGACGGACAGACGGACAGACGGACATGGCTATATCAACTCAGGAGGTGATCCTGATCAAGAATATATATACTTTATAGGGTCGGAGATGTCTCCTTCACTGCGTTGCACACTTTTGACCAAAATTATAATACCCTCTGCAAGGGTATAAAAACGATCGTTCAGATAAGAGGAATTACTCTAAACTAATGAAATTCTTTATTTTTATACCCTTGCAGAGGGTATTATAATTTTGGTCAAAAGTGTGCAACGCAGTGAAGGAGACATCTCCGACCCTATAAAGTATATATATTCTTGATCAGGATCACCTCCTGAGTTGATATAGCCATGTCCGTCTGTCCGTCTGTCCGTCTGTCCGTCTGTCTGTCCGTCTGTCTGTCCGTCTGTCTGTCCGTCTGTCTGTTTCTACGCGAACTAGTCTCTCAGTTTTAAAGATTTCGAATTGAAACTTTGCACACACCCTTCTTTCCTTTGCACGCAGTATATAAGTCGGAACGGCCGGGATCGGCCGACTATATCCTATAGCTGCCATATAACTGAACGATCGGAAATGCCATAACTTTGGTGTTTGTAAAGTTAGGAAGTTGGGATTTTCTATGGGTTTTGTATTTGGCTAATCAATCCGACATGCCGAATTTCATAAGGATCGGCCGACTATATCCTATAGCTGCCATATAACTGATTGATCGGAAATGCCATAACTTTGGTGTTTGTAAAGTTAGGAAGTTGGCATTTTCTATGGGTGTTATATTTGGCCAGCCAATCCGACCTACCAAATTTCATAAGGATCGGCCGACTATATCCTATAGCTGCCATATAACTGAACGATTGGAAATGCCATAACTTTGGTGTTTTTAAAGTTAGAAAGTTGGGATTTTTTATGAGTATTAAGAATGCATCATATGAATAATTTTGGAGAATATAATTTACAGAGTATTCTGCAAGGGTATATCAACTTCGGCTCCGCCCGAAGTTAGCTTTCCTTTCTTGTTACGTTTTCAGTTGACTTGTTCGACAAGGGGAATTATCAGTGCAAGGCTCTTCCAAACAGAGGAGTTCAAGGAAAACAGCCACCCCTTAAAAACTATTCAACATTTTTTCACAAACATTGTCAGCAAACTGAACTTTCAGAAAATAGAATCATTCATGTAATAAAAAAATATTTATTAAATACCTAAAAAAAATTGAAACTTTCATTTTTTTTGTTGAAAAAAACGGTATATAACCCCTCAACGAGAAATGAAGTAAACTTCGGCAAGCCGAAATTAGCCAAAATTATTCATATGATGCATTCTTAATATTCATAAGAAATTCCAACCTCCTAACTTTAAAACAAGAGAGAACGCTATAGTCGGGTGCCCCGACTATCAGATACCCGTTACTCAGGTAAAGGGAGTGCGAGGGAGATGGAGATAGAAACTTTGATCACGCATAACTTTTAAACGAATGGTCCGATTTGAAAAATTTCTTCTACATTTCGATAGGTATTGATAAACACAATAAAACTGCATTTTTACTTTTCCGAAATATTTAAATGTATCGTATATAAGCGATTGTGGGCGTTAAAGGGGGCGTGGCACCTTTTTGAAACAAACTTGCGCTGCGTAGGAACTCCTAGAATCTGCATGCAAAATGCCAATCTTCTAGCTTTTATAGTTTCCGAGATCTCAGCGTTCATACGGACAGACAGACGGACAGACAGACGGACAGACGGACAGACGGACAGACGGACAGACGGACAGACGGACATGGCTATATCGACTCGGCTAGTGACCCTGATCAAGAATATATATACTTTATAGGGTCGGAAACGCTTCCTTCTAGCTGTTACATACTTTTGCACGAATACAATATACCCTTTTACTCTACGAGTAACGGGTATAAATATCAAAGTTATGGCATTTCCAATCGTTGAGTTATATGGCAGCTATAGGATACAGTTGGCTGATCCTTATGAAATTTGGTAGATTGGCTAATCTATCCGGCCAAATATAAAACCCATAGAAAATAGCAACATCCTAACTTTACAAACACCAAAGTTATGGCATTTCCAAACAATCAGTTATACATGTGAAATGTGAAAAGTGAAAAGATAATTAACTCTTTTTAATTTCCCTGAAGAAAACACATCTGTCCATGCTTTTTCTGCGGGTACAAACTCGTTGTAAACCTTGGTTTAGTTATTAATTTATTTTCAGTCTTCTGGCAAAATTCGGAGAATAAGGAATAAATGGAGAACAGAAGTACATTGATTTACGATTTTATTAAACCTTTCTTAAGAACATCCGACTTAATGTTTATTCTGAAATGTTACATTTATTTGTTTTTAAATATAAATTTGAACCATACATTATATATTTACGACTTTTATTATATAAACCTGAAGGCTCTTTTTGGGGAGGTGTGTTTATCTGTATGAGATGTAGGTGTATTTCCTTAACTGGAATCAAGTTCGTTGCAATACTCTTCGATCTTACGTTGTTATAAGTAATAGTGCAGTAACTAAAGTTTTCTTATACAAATGGTATTTTACTATATATAGGAATAAATAATATTCTAAAATTACTCGAAGCAAACATTTTTCTGAAATCTATAATTATGTAAATTTGTTGATAGACGCGTTTGTAGAAAATTAAATATAATTCCAAAATATTAAAATATCCAGGAGGCTTGAAGTTTTTTGAGTTTTTAGAGTAATAAGAAATTAATATTACTTTGGTGAAGTTTGTTAAAATTGGAAATAATGTTTAATACCCATGTGTTTTTACTTATTTACAATATAGATAAATATTTTCATCTGCATTTATGCTAATGTATTACGATCTCTCAATATAGGCTATTTTTATACACTTGCAGTTTTATAATTTATGTCCTATTTTTTTAAGGCAGCAAAGAATATGAGTTCCTTTTAAAGTATACATATTTTAAATTATTTTCACTTGGCTAGTCTATTTTGACATCTTCATCAAAAGAAGCATTGGATTTAATTTTGTTTAATTTTTTAACTGCGTTGTTTTTAGTCCGTCGTTGAGTTTAAAATTTTGAAGGAATATATTTGATGGCTGCCTTATTGCCTGGTTCATTTTGCTATAGCTGCAAGAGTATAAAACATCAGCTCAACAAAGAAGATTTTTTTTTGATGAAACAACATCGTAAAGATTAATAAAATATATCATAATTAAATATATGTGTATCAGATTTATAATTTTTTTTAAATAAAATTGTTTAAAGGGTGAGCCAAAATAATAATATATTTAAGCATTGAACTGTCCGTATCCGCTTGGACGTTTATTTGTGCTATTTTTACCGATAACTCAGTTTGGATAGTAATAACACTATTGCACAGTAAACTAAGTTGCGATGAATATATTAAATATGTTTAATATACCCTTAACATAGTTTTAGAAATTAAGAGCTGTCCCTGACTTATTTTTTGATCTTTTAAAATTATTCTGTTTTTTTACTCTGTTCGTATAAAAGAATGTAGCTGCATATAAAATAATTGTATTCTTGATTATCTTTTTTATTACCATGTCGAAATCTCACATCCAATTTATAACGATTAAAAAATGTTCTGTAAAAGGCTTAGATTTGCTCTTTGTCTTAAGTTAATGTGGTCCAATTATTATCAAACTGAGTACATAGTCCTATAGATGTAATTGTTTACTTAACAAAAACAAGGAAAAATGTTTTAAGTTTAGCTTCCTGACGTAAGATACGCGTGACTTGTGGTATCTTTATTTCAAACGGTTTGATTGTCTAAATTTTTGAAATGAGAAATAGCAAAACAACTAGAAAAGATACCAGTTTGCATCGAAACATACAGCCAGGCAGCTGGTATATATACGTCCATTGCATGTCACATTCTTTTAATAAAGGGAAAAAATAGCGATACAAAATTTTAGCAGATACGGAGAAAAAAAATTTGGTTTTGGCTTAGTTAAAGATGTAAAAGAGGTACAAAGACAACTTGAATTTTTATTTGCTCAGTAACAACAGTATCATTAAAAAATTAATATAATTTAAACGATTTTGCACTCCATGTAGTCTATAAAAACGCATTTTTTTAAAAATGTTCAGCTGAATAGCGCCTTTCGTAATTGTAATCAAAGCCGGTATGGTTCGACTTGTGAACTCTTTAAATAATATGAAAATCCCGATGGTAGCTAGCCTTTGGGCTACCAAAAAATTCAAATTTAGTTGAATTACGTGGTGATATGGGAACTATAGAACCGTGGACAACATCTACATCCTTCCCCTCTCCCACGTTCATTTTTAAATATCTTGATGTGTTCATCAAACTAGGTGGGTTTTTGTTGCTATTTGTAGTTTGCATGCTATCAACTGAATGCCCTTTTTGGTGTTGATGCTTTTCCTCAGCTGCATGTGCGGCAGCAATTGCAGCGGCAGTCGCCTTCGACAGAATATCTGATGGCAAATTAAAAATTGACGATCACTGGAGACGTGGCCAGTAATTACTTCCCGTCAGGTCAGATACATTTTGCGTGGAAATCTGCACAGGCACCGAAACGCCTGCGGAAATGACACCTGCAAAAGGTTTACTATTATAATACTCGATTCAATAACGATTCACAACCATACCTGTATTTGATGATGGCATTGGAGAACTGTTCGCATAAACACCATGCTGAGGTGGCTGTTGGTGCGCAGCTGCTGGATTGCAGGCTGTGTTTCGGTGGTGGGGTGGTACATACGGAGATCCTAGTGATAAGGGATCGTGAAACATGTAGGGATAGGCGTCTCGCTGTTGTAAGCACGACGGCGTCATCGATCCTAATGATGAGCTGTTGCATAGCCAAGCACATTAGAAATATATTAGATAAACATACATGTCTTAATATTATTTTATGATTATTAAAACTAAGCACCAAGGTCGGGAACAAATGAGTACTAAACATTCCTATAACACGAAGTTTGCTTCCTTTCTTGTTTTCTTTCGATTGCTCCTATGGAAGCTATATGATATATTCCGATATAGTCCGATCCAGCTCGTTCCGACTTATTAACTAACTGCAATAGGAAGAGAACTTTTAGGAAAGTTTAAAACTGGGGGTCTAGTTTGCGTAGAAACGGACGGACAGACGGACGGTCGGACTGACGGACGGGGTAGAAAAACAACGAAGAGGCACAAACAATAAATCATTTTCGGAAACCTACTTGTAATTTTCAGCCATAGTTGCTATAGGTTGCGGGATGGATGAGTACATGGTGTTGAATCCAGTGTTTAGGGGTAACCGCGGTGCGACTGCCTGGAGCGGTGGACTTTCAGAGCTCGTGTGCGCAGCATTTGCGTCTCCGCCTAGAACCTGTTAAACATAATTTTTGCAAATGAAAAATCATTTTAATCAACAATTAAATTTCTTACAGTTGATCCATTCGGTGTCTCGGGTAAACTATTGCTAATTATAGCCGATGAAGCTCTTTCCGACACGTTGATTGCTGAGCTGGCGATGCCGGGAGTCGAGTTATTCGACGTGGCAACGGAAGAAGATGCAGCTGCTCCTGAAGGATTGTTAGCTGTGCTGGCTCGACCACTTCCGCCTACGTTATCCGCCGACCGTCTTTGAGTGCGCATTTTTTCTTCCCGGCGCCATTTGGCCCGTCGGTTTGAGAACCAAACCTAATTAAAATAATCCATAAACAAATTAATAAAAGCCTTTAACTGAGCTTTAATTTTGGGATGCAACAGAAAAACTTATTAAACTAAAAAAGGTGGTCACAAAAATAGAAATAAATAAGAAAAATATTGTTAAATACTAGGATCTGTAGACCATGATGTCTCGATTAGTAAATTCCTAAATGTAATCATTTCTGCAATTAGTGACACTTTGTATTCAAAAGATAAATGTGTTGGTTTGTTGTTTTTAAGCTTGGAATTTATTTCATTTCTTTTCATTTTATTTTCTGCAATAAGAAAAGGAAACACTCTTGATTTTAATTTTTTATGACAATATAACTGCCATGTAACTGAACGATCGAAAATGCCATAACATTAATGTTTTTATACCCTTTCAGACGGTATTATAATTTTGGTCAAAAGTGTGCAACGCAGTGAAGGAGACATCTCCGACCCTATAGAGTATATATATTCTTGATTAGAATCGCGTCCTGAGTTGATATAAGCATGTCCTTCTGTCTGTTTCTACGCAAACTAGTCTCTCAGTTTTAAAGATATCGAATTGAAACTTTGCACACACCCTTCGTTCATTTGCACGCATATATCCCATACCCGCCATATAACTGAACGATTGGAAATGCCATAACTTTGGTGTTTTTAAAGTTAGGAAGTTGAGATTTTGTATCGGTTTTATTTTTGGCCAACCAATATACTTTTCAGAACATTCTGCTTTTATGTTAATTTTTTTTGTTCTTTGGGATTTGTAATATTTAAATATAATGGAATTACGGTTTTAAAGCTTCATTGTTTTTAGTAATATAGGCGTAGAAATCGAAATGTAGTTGATTTGTAATAACTGCAAGGGTATATAAATTTCGGATTGCCGAAGTTTGCTTCCTTTCTTGTTATTAATCAAAAATTAATGTCCAATAAATAATAATGGTTTTAATTTTTAATCCTGAAATAATTGTAATCGCTAAAAGAATAGAAAATATAAAAAAGCATGTAGCTTTTATGTTAAAATTATACTGTAAAACTCTAAATGGTTTCCAATAAACAAATATGTGTATGTGTTTTGTATGTTCTATGGGAGCCATATGATATAGTATACCGATCCGGGCCGCTTGGACTTATATACCAGCTGCAGCAGAAAGAAGTTTCATCCAAAAAGCTTTAAACTAAGAGACTAGTTTGCGTAGAAATGGATAGTCGGAAATGTGTTGACTGAAATTATAATACCCTCTGCAAGAGTATAAAACTATTAAAACTATCCGGATTGTTCCTATGCTAAAAAAAATCCCAAATGTAATCTTAAAAAAAAACCAAATCAGTAAAGCAATTTACATTTTAATTATTTTTACCATATTTTATTTTTGATCCGCTCGTGTATACTGGGCATGGTTGATTTTATCAATCAAGTGATTCGGGAAAGGTAAAGTGTATATTAAAAGCAAAATTTGTTATTAACAATAAAACACTCACAGTCTAATGAACCTATTACTTTGGTCACGCAATCGAGTTTGAAACGACAGACACCCTTTGTATGCGGTTTTTTGCAACATCACAGAGATGGAATAAAGCAAACAGAAACTTCACCGTGAAGACAAAGGGGTGAAAACGGATTACAATACTTTTATACTTTAATATTTTTTCACAATGACATTTATTGCTCAGCGTTATTGTTACGGCTCCCACTCCAGCTGACAAGTTTCCCCGTTGAGTCCTTGAGACTTCGTATATTTGAACTCGCCCCCGTCATAACTACTCAATGAGAAAAATAGCAAGGAGTTTCAAGTATTTTTACAGTCAAATTGTTTTTATTCACTTAAACAAATAATCAAGAGCGTAACGATGAATATTTCAGCTCACTCTGACGACAAAACATTTGTTATATTCGGCACAGTAGCAATAGGGGTGAATAGAAAGTTCGAGGGATGAGTTCTAAATCGTCCGTTCCACGGCTTACATTTGACTCCTGGAGTTAAAATGCTTCGCAATTACATTACAAAATGCAGTTACGAAAATCACGCACCGAAAAAAATCATTACACTAGGCAAAAATAGTCGTGAAACAAGAAAGGAAAGCTAACTTCGGGTGGAGCCGAAGTTGATATCAACTTATCAAATTTAAACATTCGTTTTTTTTGGGCCTGGCTTAAAAAGACGGCAATAAGATGTTGTACTCATGACAGTTTTGACCAAATGTGTAAACAATCCAAGTGAGGAAATAGTTCCAATATAAAAGAATATATGTATCTAACATTTAAACAAGAAAGAAAAGCTAACTTCGGGCGGAGCCGAAGTTGATATACCCTTGCAGAATATTCTGTAAATTATATTCTCCAAAATTATTTATATGATGCATTCTTAATACTCATAAAAAATCCCAACTTCCTAACTTTAAAAACACCAAAGTTATGTCATTTCCAATCGTTCAGTTATATGGCAGCTATAGGATATAGTCGGCCGATCCTTATGAAATTTGGCAGGTCGGATTGATTGGCCAAAAATAAAACCCATAGATAATCCCAACTTCCTAACTTTACAAACACCAAGTTATGGCATTTCCGATCAATCAGTTATATGGCAGCTATAGGATATAGTCGTCCGATCCTTATGAAATTTGGTAAGTCAGACTGATTAGCCAAAAATAAAACCCATAGAACTTCCTAACTTGCTAACTTGAAAAACACCAAAGTTATGGCATTTCCGATCGTTCAGTTATATGGCAGCTATATGATATAGTGGCCCGATCCGGCTCGTTCCGACTTATATACTACCTGCAATAGAAAGACAACTTTTGGGAAAGTTTCAAGCAGATAGCTTTAAAACTGAGTTACTAGTTTGCGTAGAAACAGACGGACGGACAGACGGACGGACAGACGGACGGACAGACGGACATGGCTTGATCGACTCTGCTGGTGATGCTGATCAAGAATATATATACTTTATAGGGTCGGAAATGTCTCCTTCACTGCGTTGCAAACTTTTGACTGAAATTATAATACCCTCTGCAAGGGTATAAAAAGGAATACAAATAAAGTAAAAATGTTTACTGCAGTTCTCAGAAAAAAGTATAAGTTGAATATAAAACAAGAGAGAACGCTATAGTCGGGTGCCCCGACTATCAGATACCCGTTACTCAGGTAAAGGGAGTGCGAGGGAGATGGAGATAGAAACTTTGATCACGCATAACTTTTTAACGAATGGTCCGATTTGAAAATTTTCTTCTACATTTCGATAGGTATTGATAAACACAATAAAACTGCATTTTTACTTTTCCGAAATATTTAAATTTTTAAAATCGTATATAAGCGATTGTGGGCGTTAAAGGGGGCGTGGCACCTTTTTGAAACAAACTTGCGCTGCGTAGGAACTCCTAGAATCTGCATACAAAATGGCAATCTTCTAGCTTTTATAGTTTCCGAGATCTCAGCGTTCATACGGACGGACAGACAGACGGACAGACGGACATGGCTATATCGACTCGGCTAGTGACCCTGATCAAGAATATATATACTTTATAGGGTCGGAAACGCTTCCTTCTAGCTGTTACATACTTTTGCACGAATACAATATACCCTTTACTCTACGAGTAACGGGTATAACAAGAGAGAACGCTATAGTCGGGTGCCCCGACTATCAGATACCCGTTACTCAGGTAAAGGGAGTGCGAGGGAGATGGAGATAGAAACTTTGATCACGCATAACTTTTTAACGAATGGTCCGATTTGAAAAATTTCTTCTACATTTCGATAGGTATTGATAAACTCAATAAAACTGCATTTTTACTTTTCCGAAATATTTAAATTTTTAAAATCGTATATAAGCGATTGTGGGCGTTAAAGGGGGCGTGGCACCTTTTTGAAACAAACTTGCGCTGCGTAGGAACTCCTAGAATCTGCATGCAAAATGCCAATCTTCTAGCTTTTATAGTTTCCGAGATCTCAGCGTTCATACGGACAGACAGACAGACAGACGGACAGACAGACGGACAGACGGACATGGCTATATCGACTCGGCTAGTGACCCTGATCAAGAATATATATACTTTATAGGGTCGGAAACGCTTCCTTCTAGCTGTTACATACTTTTGCACGAATACAATATACCCTTTTACTCTACGAGTAACGGGTATAATTACAAGTTCGTTGATTACTTTCCATTATAAAATCCATTTTATCAAATATAATTTGATTTCAATTCTTTTTGTTTTTAATCCTTTTCTAATCCCCTTTTTTTACAGTACAAAAATTGATGTGGAACATTTGGAATTTTCCAAATTGCTCAACCTAATTTTAAGTGTTAGAAATGACTTTTGGACATTGTTTATGGTTCTTTAAGTTAAGTCACGTGATTTTTGCACCTCAGTATTTTTATTTAATTTTTTTTAATTCTTATCGAACTCGAGGAAAGTGTCGAACACGCTTTTTTAATTTCTAAGATTTAGTTTAAAATTTAAAACAGGTTAAAACTTATTAAACATTTTAAAAAATTACCAAAAAATTATGAAAATAAAGTTCACAAAAAAGGGCTACAAACAGAATATAATTAAACAAAACTGAAAGACAAACCTGAATACGTGCCTCTGGCAAACCAATTTTATCTGCAAGTCTTTCTCGCGCAAAAACATCCGGATAATGTGTTCTTTCAAATTCTGTAATGTAGGCCAAATAAAGATACAGATACAAGTTTTATTTAAATCAAGTATATTTAATACCAAAATGGGCTGTTAAGGTGTTGACACATTTCGTTCCCTTGTCTAATATGCTTAAGTTAAATGTTATTGATTAGTTTTATATATTACTGTTGGTTTTATGTTTAAAACATATATGATAAATCGAGATTTTAATATTTTTTTCCGCTTCAAATTGTATTAATAAATCGAATATGGAAGATGTTGGATACCACGATTATGAAAAACCTTGTTTTCAATTTATGAGTTGGAAAAATAATTTTTTTAGATATAATTAGGCTTTGTTCGCTTGTCTACTGTCTATAGAAAATAATATGAACAGCAAAAGACACGGGTTTCACCCATTAATAACAAGAAAGAATATTTTGCAAGTTCTTCAACAAGTTTTCTTTCTTTTACAGGTAAGGTATAAAAGTCGGAACGGGGCTAGATCGGCGTACTATATCATTTAAGTCCCATAGAAACAATCAAGTAAAAAGGAAAATAAAATTACAACTTAATTGATTCCCTATACTCCGAGATATGGTAATTTTTAACGATTTCAGAATTACGGGTTTTCTTTAATGAAATTCGAACGACAATATCCTATAGCTTGCATGGAAGCGATCGGAAAATCGAAATAATTTTTGTAAAAGCTACAGGGTATTTAAACTTCGGCTTGCCGAAGATTCCTTTCCTTCTTGTTATTAATATTTTTTATCTGCACCTTTTTTTGAATTCTGGTTCTGTTTAAGAACCTAGTGATATATCAATTTGATATTCACTAAGCTGGTTGGCTACAAATATTGTAAATGATTTTGAATTAATAAAAATAGCACATGTATTTTTTGTATCAAAACAAATATGGGCGACAGGAAATAAGAAATCATTTTGAGACCATGAAGGAAACTAATATTCGTTTCAAAAAGAAGCACTCTAATTTTCCAGATTCCCTAATTAAAAAAAAATAAGGTGTAACACCCAAATTTAATCTTAAGGTATCTCAAAGTCGTGGCACTTGATATAAAAATATAGTTTAGTTACTAGTATCGACAACCAGAGCCAAGCTAAATGCACTTTGGTATTAAAACCTGATTTAAATATAAATTACCTTTTTCGAGACTTTCAATCTGCTCATTAGAAAATGAAGTACGATTGCGCTGCAATTTCCTTTTCAGCCGCAAACGCATTTGTGAGTCTTCGTCTCCAGATGAATTATGTTCCGAGTTGCCATCCGATGTACTATCGTGAGAGTTTGGATGCGAAACGTCGGCTGAGTATTGTAAGTCTAAAACGAATATAAAAAATAACCACATGAAAATATATTATAGAATGTGAATCACGATCTGGAAAAAAAACATACACTAAAGAGATTCAATCAATCAATGAGAACTTAATATCTTATTATTCTTGATCAGCCCGAAGTTAGCTTTCCTTTCTTGTTATACCCTTGCAGAGGGTATTATAATTTTGGTCAGAAGTTTGTAACGCAGTGAAGGAGACGTTTCCGACCCTATAAAGTATATATATTCTTGATCAGGATCAATAGGGGAGTCGATATAGCCATGTCCGTCTGTCCGTCCGTCCGTCTGTCCGTCTGTCCGTCTGTCTGTCTGTTTCAATACCGTTTGCGAGCTCAGTTTAAAAGCTAGCGATCTGAAACTTTCACACTCGTCCTAAAACAAGTGTACGCAGATCAAGTTTGAAAACCGTCCCGATCGGATGTCTATATCCTATAGCTCCCATAGGAACAATCGGATATAACTTGCAAGAATGGAAGATATTTCGCGCAGTGTAAAAGCTATTGACATAAATCTTTCCAAATCGTATTTTTTTATGCGTACCTTGATCAGGGTAAAAGCGCGTGACGATCGGACGTCTATATCCTATAGCTCCCATAGGAACAAAAGGGTAAAATCGGCTAAAATTTAATGATTTTTAGGATATTTCGCGCAGTATACAAGCTATTGACATGAATCTTTCCAAATTGTATTTTTTTATGCATACATTGATCAAGGTGAAGGCGCGTGCCGATCGGACGTCTATATCCTGTAGCCCCCATAGGAACAATAGGGTGAAATCGGTCCAAATTTGATGATTATCAGAATATTTCGCGAAGTGTGTAGCTACTATCATAAATTTTTTCAATTCTTATTTATTTACGCATATCTTGATTAGGGTAAAAGCGCTTGCCGCTCGGAAGTCTATATCTTAATGGAGATAGGAAAAATTAATTAATTAATTTTAAGGCTGAGAAAGTATCCCTTTTTTATACCCTTGCAGAGGGTATTATAATTTTGGTCAGAAGTTTGTAACGCAGTGAAGGAGACGTTTCCGACCCCATAAAGTATATATATTCTTGATCAGGATCAATAGGGGAGTCGATATAGCCATGTCCGTCTGTCCGTCTGTCCGTCTGTTTCAATACCGTTTGCGAGCTCAGTTTAAAAGCTAGCGATCTGAAACTTTCACAATCGTCCTAAAACATGTGTACGCAGATCAAGTTTGAAAATCGCCCCGATCGGACGTCTATATCCTATAGCTCCCATAGGAACAATTGGATATATCTTGCAAGAATTTATGATATTTCGCGCAGTGTAAAAGCTATTGACATTAATCTTTACAAATCGTATTTTTTATGCATACCTTGATCAGGGTAAAAGCGCGTGGCGATCGGACGTCTATATCCTATAGCTCCCATAGGAACAACAGGGTAAAATCGGTTAAAATTTAATGATTTTTAGGATATTTCGCGCAGTGTAAAAGCTATTGACATAAATCTTTCCAAATCTTATTTTTTTATGCGTACCTTGATCAGGGTAAAAGCGCGTGACGATCGGACGTCTATATCTTATAGCTCCCATAGGAACAATAGGGTAAAATCGGTCCAAATTTGATGTTTTTCAGAATATTTCGCGATGTGTAAAAGCTATTGCTGTACATTTTTTCAAATCGTATTTTTTTATGCATTCCTTCATCAAGGTAAAAGCGCGTGCTGATCGGACGTCTATATCCTATAGCTCCCATAGGAACAATACGGTGAAATCGGTCAAAATTTCATATTTTTTAGAATATTTCGCGCAGTGTATAAGCTATTGACATACATTTTTCAAAGTCTTATTTATTTACGCATATCTGGATTAGGGTAAAAGCGCTTGCCGATCGGACGTCTATTTCTTATAGCTTCCGTAGGAAAAATAGTTAAAGGCTGCGAAAGTATCCCTTTTTTTCTATTTTTATATGACATTTTTGCAGTATAAAAGCAATTGACATTACACGATGCAAATCTAGTTTATTTATGTATACCTTATTCCTTTCGCTACTTTTTCAGTTTTAGCAATTTCGGCAAAGTCTGCAAGGGTATTAAAACTTCGGCTTGCCGAAGTTAGCTTCCGTCCTCGTTTGTTATAATTTTAAGTCAAATCTGAAACAGCAAAGGACATATTTAAAACCATTTATTTTTATTTTTACTGATATAGGCATAGAAATCGATTTTAGGCATAGAAATCGAAATTTAATCGAATTTAATAACTGCAAGGGTATATAAACTTTGGCTTTCCGAAGTCCTCCTCCTTTTTTGTTTTACTTTAATGTTAATTTGCAATCGATTTAGCCCTAAACAGGAGAACTAGATGCTGATAAGCTATATTTGGGATCAATATTTTCTACTATATATTACTTGAAGAAGACTTTTGAGTTAAGCCAAAATTTTTACAAAATCTTATGCTATCCAGAGGTTGTAGTGGAAACTTTCGTTTGCTTTATGTTTCTTTAAATATTTGTTTTTTGAATGATTAGTTTAAGTTGTAATCATGACAAAGGGACGACATAAGATTAAATTGAATGCATAAAGGGGACGGTGGATGTTTACTGGCAATGGAGACATATGTTAGCTCAATTTATTGATTGAAGAGAAAACAAAAACAATCCAAAGTATCTGAAGATGGAATAAAATAGCTGCTTCAATAAGACTTAATGGCAAATAACAAATGACCAACAAATTAACTATTTGTTTGTCCTGAGTTTGATCATCTGTGACAAAATACTTGCAATTGTGTGATTGCTAGGACTAAAGAGGGTTGAATTTTATTTAGCCGAGGCCCCTTTCTTTCAATGTAAACACATTCATACGAAACAAACACTGAAGAGGGCAATTTCAGCTTTGACAATATTACCCCTCCGCTTTGCAGTCAACTGAACTCGCAACTAGTTTTCTGTTAATCGCACTATGACCAGATCTGTGTCAATTGCTCTAGCAGTCTGTATAAGTTTTATCGGGTATAAGTTTTTCAAAAAATTACAATTTTTTTTAAAACCAAGCTTATTTATAAACAAGAAAGATATAGATGTCCGATTTTAATTTAATTAAAACCGTAATTCCATAGTATTTAAACATTACCAAATCCCAAAGAACAAAAATAGACGGCCGGACGGGCTGATCAAGAATATATGTACTTTATAGGGTCGGAAATGTCTCCTTCAGTATAAAGTATATATATTCTACTGCCATATAACTGAACGATCGGAAATAACTTAAGTGTTTTTGAAGTTAGGAAGTTGGGATTTGGTATGGGCTTTATTATTGACCAATCGATCCAACCTACCGAATTTCATAAGGATCGGCCGACTATATCCTATAGCTGCCATATAACTGAACGATCGGAAATTCCATAACTCTTGTGTTTTTATAGCCGTTACTCGTAGAGAAAAAAAAAATTTAATTTATATGTATTTGTTTCGTCAATACCTATCGATTGGCCTAATAAAAGTTTGCCACGCCCACTCTAACGCCCAAAAACCCATTAAACGCTTAAGCCTGGCTAGCGCCTACATTTCTACATGGGGTAGATGGCGCAATACAATAGCGCCATCTAACGGATGACTTTGGAACAGCTGGCCAAGGTGCTCAACAGAGTCAACGTTAATTCTCGATAAGGATTTCTATTAAAGGAAATTGCGATGGTTTTCATTTGTCAATACCGAACTATATCCCAAGAACTATGTAAATCAAATCAAGTTAGCCAAATTGGAGGTCTGAGTCAAACATTGGCGTATGTGTGTATGTATGTAAGCATACACATATGTATGTGTTTACATTGTACACAGTTGCAATTGCCCGGCAATTATAATATTAAGTTGTTTAGCTGAGTAACGGGTATCTAATAGTCGAGGCACTCGACTATAGCGTTCTCTCTTGTTAAAGTTAGGAAGTTGGGATTTTTTATGAGTATTAAGAAAGCATCATATGAATAATTTTGGAGAATATAATTTACAGAATATTCTGCAAGGGTATATCAACTTCGGCTCCGCCCGAAGTTAGCTTTCCTTTCTTGTTATTTATTTATTTCTCCAATTTTTCCTATGTGAGTTTAATGATATGTTCGTCCGTTCCGCCTTTTCCAAATTATAATAATAATACTAACTACAATAGAAAGAAGAATTTTGGGAAAGTCATATCCAAATAACTGAGATTCTAGTTTACATACAAATCTACTGGCTCTACTGGAGATGCACGAATTTATATACTTTATAGGGCCGGAAATGTCTCCTTCACTGCGTTGCAAACATTGAATTGAAATTAAATACCTCTGCTATCGTATAAAAATCATCCGATTTGTATATTGCATTTCAATATAATCTTGGAGCATGATGCCATATGGTCGTTATAGTGGGCGTATACAAATTTTAAAATTAAACTCTGGCTTTTATACTTTCCAAGATCTTCAGGTTCATACACCCAAAAAACGGGAAATTGTGCTTATTGGTAAACAAATATATAAATTTTTGCATTACTAAATATTCATTAAAATCAAAAAGGGCCAAAAGATTTAAATAAGTATATGCAGTGGGCAATAAAAGTGATGGCACATATATTAACATATTGACATATTTTAACTTTAAATTGCACTTAGAAGCTTATTTATCTTTTTAACGATGTAAAGTTTATTGATATGTGTAAATAAAACATTTTTAAACCAATAACTAAATAATTATACCCTTGCAGAGGGTATTATAATTTTGTTCAAAAGTGTGCAACGCAGTGAAGGAGACATCTCCGACCCTATAAAGTATATATATTCTTGATCAGGATCACCTCCTGAGTTGATATAGCCATCTCCGTCTGTCCGTCTGTCCGTCTGTCTGTCTGTCTGTCTGTCCGTCTGTCTGTCCGTCTGCTGTCCGTCTGTCTGTTTCTACGCAAACTAGTCTCTCAGTTTTAAAGCTATCGAGTTGAAACTTTGCACACAGCCTTCTTTCCTTTGCACGCAGTATATATGTCGGAACGGCCGGGATCGGCCGACTATATCTTATAGCTGCCATATAACTGATTGATCGGAAATGCCATAACTTTGGTGTTTGTAAAGTTAGGAAATTGGGATTTTCTATCGGTTTTATATTTGGCCAATCAATCCGACCTACCAAATTTCATAAGGATCGGCCGACTATATCTTATAGCTGCCATATAACTGATTGATCGGAAATGCCATAACTTTGGTGTTTGTAAAGTTAGGAAATTGGGATTTTCTATCGGTTTTATATTTGGCCAATCAATCCGACCTACCAAATTTCATAAGGATCGGCCGACTATATCCTATAGCCGCCATATAACTGATTGATCGGAAATGCCATAACTTTGGTGTTTGTAAAGTTAGGAAGTTGGAATTTGCTATGGGTTTTATATTTGGCCAATCAATCCGACCTACCAAATTTCATAAGGATCGGCCGACTATATCTTATAGCTGCCATATAACTGATTGATCGGAAATGCCATAACTTTGGTGTTTGTAAAGTTAGGAAATTGGGATTTTCTATCGGTTTTATATTTGGCCAATCAATCCGACCTACCAAATTTCATAAGGATCGGCCGACTATATCTTATAGCTGCCATATAACTGATTGATCGGAAATGCCATAACGTTGGTGTTTGTAAAGTTAGGAAATTGGGATTTTCTATCGGTTTTATATTTGGCCAATCAATCCGACCTACCAAATTTCATAAGGATCGGCCGACTATATCCTATAGCCGCCATATAACTGATTGATCGGAAATGCCATAACTTTGGTGTTTGTAAAGTTAGGAAATTGGGATTTTCTATCGGTTTTATATTTGGCCAATCAATCCGACCTACCAAATTTCATAAGGATCGGCCGACTATATCCTATAGCCGCCATATAACTGATTGATCTGAAATGCCATAACTTTGGTGTTTGTTAAGTTAGGAAGTTGGGATTTTCTATGGGTTTTATTTTTGGCCAAACAATCCGACCTACCAAAGTTCATAAGGATCGGCCGACTATATCTTATAGCTGCCATATAACTGAACGATTGGAAATGCTATAACTTTGGTGTTTTTAAAGTTAGGAAGTTGGGATTTTTTATGAGTATTAAGAATGCATCATATGAATAATTTTGGAGAATATAATTTACAGAGTATTCTGCAAGGGTATATCAACTTCGGCTCCGCCCGAAGTTAGCTTTCCTTTCTTGTTTTTTTTTGAATTTATTATGTTGTTAAAATTGTTCAAACTTAAAAAGAAAAAGTCCTCATTTTGCGCAATATTTACATGCATGTATCAATACCATTAAAACTCAACAAAATTTGATCGCTGAGTTACATTATTAATGCACTCCATATATATTTATTTATTTATTTTACTAACGAATGCCATTTATTAAATGTTAAAAATTAAAATTTAATTATTACAAGAAATTATCAATTTAAAAAATATTTAATTTTATTTGTATTTATAATATATACTTGATATATACGAATAATGGGTAAGAAAATCCATATTTTTTTGGAGAAATTTGTATACTATAAAAAATCAAATATTTATAATAAAACTCTGGGAAAATAGAACGTGTTTTAACGAAATAGTATGAAATAAATACTAACATGTCAGAAACATCATTTAATATATATACTTCATGCCGCTAGCATAGTATTTGTTAAACTAATTAGTAAAATTTGTAAACATAAATCGTATACTCGGAAGCAAAAAATTTCTAACTTTTAACGTTTTATTTTTATACTATCGAAGTTATTTATTTAAATCTCATCCTATTGAAAAATGTTTAATACTGAATAGTTTAGAATTCAGGCAACAATAGTCTTGTTTATTTGACTATTTTACATACATGACTAGATCGTTTCCAATAAAAGTAAAAGTTGGGACACCAAATTTTATAATAACAATTTGTCCATACTAGACGCTTTTTCACAATGTAATGGATTTTTCAAATTTTTCATTTAGGAAAATTACCTGATTACCATTATTATTAAAATATGTCAAAGTAAAATTATACCGCTAGTAATAAGCTTGCTTTATGAATCTGAAACTCAGATTATAAAATTCTCTGACACTCGCATTTTAAATTGTAAGAAAGATGTTTAGCCCTAACAAGTTTGTATGAAAATTAAATTTACATATCGGACTATTAAGAGCTTGCAACGCAGTCATGGAGACATTTCGGACCCTATAAAGTATGTTAATCAGCACCAATAGAGTTGATTAAGGGGTTATCCGGGTCTTGGAGCACGAAAAAAAGCCTATTTTCGTGAATTTTTTTAAAAGATCTTACGACAATTTCACAAATTTCGTTTATTGTACATTAATGTTTATGGTTTAACCAACATTGTGTAAAAATTTGAACCAAAAATTTTTAAAATTGAGCCGTTGAGGCAGGCTTGAACTTGACCTCTTAAAAAATTGTGTCCTTGCGGTAGGCAAAATATCTCCATCAATTTTTATCTGAAATCAAAAAACTAAAATTTTTCTGATAGTGTATGTGTCTCGCTTGTCCTCTGCGAGCCATTTTTTTTTAAAATTAAAAATTGAATTTTTTGTAGCGCTTTTCATAAAAAGTGTCTTTTTTTACGTAAATTTTGGCCATATTTTGGCTTATAAAATGAGTTGTAATTAAAAACTTAAAAAATCCCTCCGTTAAGGACAAGAGAATTATGTCTAAAAGAAGTGTGCAAAAGCAGAAGTTGATCGGTGCAATAGTTTTTGAGAAATCGTGACTACCGACTTCAAAAAAGTAGTTTTGAGAAAAACGCGTTTAAAGTGCCGCATCTGCCCGACGCCAGAGCCCGAATTGCCCGTTGTAAAGTTCGACGCGCTGGGCTTTAAATTTCTCCCATTCCTAAATTTTTGCTTCGATCAACTTGAAATTTTCAGACAACATTTCTGAAACTTTGTACTATTATATAAAAAAGTTTGAAAAAAATGAATTTTTTGAAGTGTCAAGACCCGGATAACCCCTTAAGCCATGTCCGTCTGTGCGTTTTTACGGTAAACTTTGAAGCATATTGAAAAAAATAAATATGATAAATTGAAATAAAGGATAATTAAAGGATAACTTAACACCTGCAAGGGTATGTAAGCCTCGGCTGGCCGAAGTTTGCTTCCTTTCTTGTTTTAATTTTTTTAACGGGTCAACTCGAATTCCATGATCGAGGCATATTGTTTATATCTGTTTAAATTAAATATTTTCATTTTACATTTTTACTTGCCTCGTTTTTGCACATCGTCTCGATTAATTTGTCCTGTTAAATTTGTTGGAGTTGACACAACTGAAGCCGCTGGCGGTAGAGCCAAATGTGCCGTCGTTGTATTGCTTGGATACCATGCCCATCCGCCCGTTTGGCCATTGAACATGCGAAGCTTTTCATACACAGATTCGTTTTGTTGCTGCGCTTGCTGCTCCTTTTGTGAGGCCAAGTTACGTAGGACTCGGTTAATGGATGAAACCTGCAATTAATCCCAGTTCACTGCGTACAATAAAATACATAACATACCTATATTTTGTATATACATACATATGTATGAACTTAAAACTAATGTTTCCTTCTGTTCGCAAACATACTATTACACCGAAACACACGTACGAGTTGTACTACAAAAGCTGTACTTGCAAGCGTACAGATTTTCAAGTCATAAGATAAAATGTGTATGAACCCCAGTGTCGAACGCACGATGCTTTTAGAGGGGTTCAAATGACTGAGCTACCAAAAACATTAGCTACTTCATTCAGTCTTTCTCAACAAATACACCATGTTCCAACCAACCCCCTTGCATCACATCTGCCATCCGATTGGCTAACGGCTTTTTCAGCCAATCCGCTTCTCAGAGCGAGAAAGGTATATGAACAAACTTTTAAAGCCAAAATGGACTAGACTACTCTAGTCTTCTCATTAAGTTATCGATTCTAGGAAGCTCAATCCGCTTTATATCAATCTTATTACACAATTATTTTAATATATGTACATATACTTGGCATTTTAGAAAAGAATTCATATGTACAAGTTTAATTTCAGGTGAAGAAACAATACAATTAAGAAAGATAATAAAACAAAGTATTAAAAAATATTATGGAGCTTAATCAATTCTACTGCTGCTAAAGATATTGTCCTAGAACATGGTACTACACTACTGTGGTGGATTTGGGGATTCGTGATGAAACCTTATTTAATACTTTAAATTGCCAATCCAAAGCTGAACCCCCTTGCAATGACAAACATTTATCAGTCTATTTGTGAATTATATTTAAATGGTCGATACAAAAGCCAACATAAATTGTTTACCTATAATCTATAAAAAGACTAATCGAAAAGACAAAGAAAAATGACATATTATACAATTTTCTCTTTTCCGCCGCAGTAATATATTTTTGCTTCTTAGCCATAAATATGTTTTTTCCTACAGCTTGTCCGAATGAACAAATTTCTAAACTGCAATATTTGAAAGCTTCGTATTTTTCCATTTTTCCTTGCTAAACATGCGGTTTTCGCAAAAACATATCTTATAAATTGAATTACTTCTAAACCAATTGTCGTATCTTCGATACGTATTTTTTGTAAAGACTATAAAACGATTGTGCCTAAACTAAGAGAGGACAAATTGGAGCCATTCTAAAAACATTTTAAAACAAGAAAGGAAAGCTAACTTCGGGCGGAGCCGAAGTTGATATACCCTTGCAGAATACTCTGTAAATTATATTCTCCAAAATTATTCATATAATGCATTCTTAATACTCATAAAAAATCCCAACTTCCTAACTTTACAAACACGAAAGTTATGGCATTTCCGATCAATCAGTTATATGGCAGCTATAGGATATAGTCGGCCGATCCTTATGAAATTTGGTAGGTCGGATTGATTGGCCAAATATAAAACCCATAGAAAATCCCAACTTCCTAACTTTACAAACACGAAAGTTATGGCATTTCCGATCAATCAGTTATATGGCAGCTATAGGATATAGTCGGCCGATCCTTATGAAATTTGGTAGGTCGGATTTATTGGCCAAATATAAAACCCATAGAAAATCTCAACTTCCTAACTTTACAAACACGAAAGTTATGGCATTTCCGATCAATCAGTTATATGGCAGCTATAGGATATAGTCGGCCGATCCCGGCCGTTCCGACTTATATACTGCGTGCAAAGGAAAGAAGGGTGTGTGCAAAGTTTCAATTCGATAGCTTTAAAACTGAGAGACTAGTTTGCGTAGAAACAGACAGACGGACAGACGGACAGACGGACAGACGGACAGACGGACATGGCTATATCAACTCAGGAGGTGATCCTGATCAAGAATATATATACTTTATAGGGTCGGAGACGTCTCCTTCACTGCGTTGCACACTTTTGACCAAAATTATAATACCCTCTGCAAGGGTATAAAAATATAAAATATTAAAATAAACAAGAAAGGAAAGCTAAATTCGGGCGGAGCCGAAGTTTATATACCCTTGCAGAATACTCTGTAAATTATATTCTCCAGAATTATTCATATGATGCATTCTTAATACTCATAAAAAATCCCAACTTCCTAACTTTAAAAACACCAAAGTTATGGCATTTCCAATCGTTCAGTTATATGGCAGCTATAGGATATATTCGGCCGATCCTTATGAAGTTTAGTAGGTCGGATTGATTGGCCAAACATAAAACCCATAGAAAATCCCAACTTCCTAACTTTACAAACACCAAAGTTATGGCATTTCCGATCATTCAGTTATATGGCAGCTATAGGATATAGTCGGCCGATCCTTATGAAATTTGGTAGGTCGGATTGATTGGACAAAGATAAAACCCAAAGAAAATCCCAACTTCCTAACTTTACAAACACCAAAGTTATGGCATTTCCGATCAATCAGTTATATGTCAGCTATAGGATATAGTCGGCCGATCCTTATGAAATTTGGTAGGTCGGATTGATTGGCCAAATATAAAACCCATAGGCAATCCCAGCTTCTTAACTTTACAAACACCAAAGTTATGGCATTTCCGATCAATCAGTTATATGGCAGCTATAGGATATAGTCGGCCGATCCTAATGAAATTTGAAAGGTCGGATTAATTGGCCAAAAATAAAACCCAAAGAAAATCACAACTTCCTTATTTTAACAAGGAAGGAAAGCTAACTTCGGGCGGAGCCCAAGTTGATATACCCTTGAAGAATACTCTGTAAATTATATTCTCCAAAATTATTCATATGACTCATTCTAAAGGGGGTAAATACCTTTTTCATTTTCAAAAAATCGAAAATTTTTTTTGCCTTTTCTTAAAGAACAATTTTTTGAGAACATTTCCCCAAATTTTCATAGAGATTTGAGCAGTAGAAAAAAAATTAGAGCGCTCCTAGCCGCGTGCCTCGTCCCCGCCCAAACCCAAACTTGAAACTTTAAACGCAAATATCTAGAAATGGTGTTTTTTGAAAAATGACTTTGCGGTGATATGGATTGGCGAAAAACTACTGAACAGATTTTCTTCAAATTTTTTTTAAATGTTCGTAATGAATTTTATTAGTACTTGAACGATTGTTTTTCATGTAAAAATTTGTATTTCGCCGAAATAGATAGTTTTGTAAGAATTTTAGCGTCCAAAACAGTAATTTTTTGCATAAAATGTTCCCGTATGCACAAAAAAAAAATTTTAAACTTATGAAATATTTTTATTTTTTCGGTATCAGTTGACCCGTTTGTCCTGTGGAATTATCACCGCAAGGTTCTTTAAAAAAAGGCGTTTAAGGGAAACAGCCACGCCTTAAAAACTATTAAATATTTTTTCAAAATTTTTTGCATAAACATTGTCAACAATCTAAACTTTCAGAAAATATAATCATTTATTTAATAAAATTAATAGTTACATGCATACAAAAATGCAAACTTTCCTATTTTTTTCGACAAAAAAAGGTATATACCCCCTTAATACTCATAAAAAATCCCAACTTCCTAACTTTAAAAACACCAAAGTTATCGCATTTCCGATCAATCAGTTATATGGCAGCTATAGGATATAGTCGTTCCGACATATATACTGCGTGCAAAGGAAAGAACCAAAGTTATGGCATTTCCGATCGTTCAGTTATATGGCAGCTATAGGATTTAGTCCTCATAAGGATCGGACGACTATGTCCTATAGCCGCCATATAACTGAACGATTGACCCGATCGGCCAGATTTATTAATTTCATGTAAAGATGATACTAACTGTAAACCTTTTATATAGTTTTTATGAAAATCGAGCAGGTCAGTGATCACGGTTTTAATTAAATTAAAATCGGACATCTATAGCTTCCATTGGAAAATCAAAAAATGAAAAAAAAAAAATATTTTGCTGTTTTTTTATTCATCAAAATATTACTTTCACATATAGTAATTATCTCTATATATAAAGCTATCAGTAAGTAAACTGGGAACCCACGCAGAGCCAAAACCACTGGTTACCAATATTAATATGCATTTTTATTACATTCTAATTACTTTAAACTGATTCGCTAAGATTTATTGGGGCTCCCCAAGTGGCCCCAATCGCTTCCAATTGATGGTTTGATGGTTTCACCAAAGCTCTAGCTATCTTCTAAACAAAGAAACTAAGCAAAAAGTCGATCTATTATCGAATTTAAGTGTCTCCATAAGTATCATACGTTTTCTGCCTGCATATTGCTATCTCTCTCTGCATTTTCATACAAATTGTCAACAAATGATTCCGTCTCCCTCCCTCTCTCTCTGCCTTGCATTTCCGTACGCTTCCTTAAAAATATAAAATGAGCTTTAATACGGTTTTAATATCTGTAGACTTTAGTTTATAGTTATTGGTGACCCAAAAGATTGCAAAGACTTGAAAATGGTCATTAACGCTGATAAAAAGCCAGTAAATGCTCATAGAGGTCGTTATAATGCACCTCAAACAAATGAAGTGGGTTTGGTATTAGTTGATCAACAATTTCCAAGTCGGGACATTGTTATTGAGAGTTATAATAGCAAATACAATATCCATTAATTTTTTGCCACAGATATGATGGATATTCCATAAATATTCCCAACGGGATCCGTTAAAAAAAAATGATCTAAAGAAGACTGTATCTGCATTAAGCTTTTACAGTTATCGAATAATTTTTAGGGAGACTGAAGTCAATCACTTGCATTATTATAGAGCTCTGTTTAATCAATTTTTGGTTGATATGAGTGCAAAAATGGAAACCGAACAGATTAATTATATTCGAGCAAATCAAAAAAAGTTGAGAGCAGAAAGTTACATATGTACATCTTTAAGACGCTATAGGTAGGGGAGATGCAGATATGACTCAACTTGGTCAGATGGTGATTTTACCTTCCACTTTTACAGGCTCTTATCGATATATGCAGGAAAAGACCCAGGATGCTATGACTTATTTTCGACATTATGGCCGACCTGATCTTTTTATAACCTGTAACCCTAAATGTGAGGAAATAACGAATGAGTTGTTTCCAGGCCAAAAACCTCAGGATCGTCATGACCTGATATCTCGAGTCTTTCATTTAAAAGTTAAAACATTAATGGCGCTGTTGGTTAAAGGCCAATTGTTTGGTGAAGTACAGTGATTTATGTATTATATTCTATTATGTATTCTATTACATAAGAAAAGTAGGATATTGGGGTTATCCATCGCAAGCGAAGCTGCGGGCACCCTTCTAGTTTACTATATTAGAGTTACGCTTTTAGTTTTGTCAAAATCGGAAAACAATATCATAGCCATAGAAACGATGGCAAAATGCAGCGCAAAATCGACTTAGCCTCATTGTTTTTAGTAATATAGGCATATAAATCGAAATGTAGTCGATTTGTAATAACTGCAAAGGTATATAAACTTCCTTTGCTTCCCTTCTTGTATATTATTAATATTCATTAAGTTGGGAAACATTTACAATTTTTGTCCTGTTTTTACCATTAAGTAACAACATAAATTTTCTGCAACATCACAAGATATTATTTAATTAAAAAGTGAAATTTTTATTAACGCTTTTTTTCGTTAATTAAGAAATTAATAGACAAGTTTTCTGAGTTTTGAATAACCGTTACTCAGCATGCTACCCGCAAAAAAGGGTTTTGTTAAGGTAAGCGTAAAATAAATAATTAAGCAGACACCACATTAACTTTCTAAACAATGATTTTGGAAACAGGTTGATGATTCTGATTAAGATATTCTTGATAAAATGCATTTCTAAGGTACGAGGGCTTCTATATTTGAATAAAAACAAGAGAGAACGCTATAGTCGGGTGCCCCGACCATCAGATACCCGTTACTCAGGTAAAGGGAGTGCGAGGGAGATGGAGATAGAAACTTTGATCACGCATAACTTTTTAACGAATGGTCCGATTTGAAAAATTTCTTCTACATTTCGATAGGTTTTGATAAACACAATAAAACTTCATTTTTACTTTTCCGAAATATTTAAATTTTTAAAATCGTATATAAGCGATTGTGGGCGTTAAAGGGGGCGTGGCACCTTTTTGAAACAAACTTGCGCTGCGTAGGAACTCCTAGAATCTGCATGCAAAATGCCAATCTTCTAGCTTTTATAGTTTCCGAGATCTCAGACAGACAGACGGACATGGCTATATCGACTCGGCTAGTGACCCTGATCAAGAATATATATACTTTATAGGGTCGGAAACGCTTCCTTCTAGCTGTTACATACTTTTGCACGAATACAATATACCCTTTTACTCTACGAGTAACGGGTATAATAATAAATTGAAAAAAATAAAATAATAAATATATATATATATTTATTAAATATATAAATACTAAATATAATTATTCTTCAAGTAAAGTCAAAATTCTATTTACTTATTGAAAAAAGACTTTTTTGTGAACAGCGTCATTAGGAAACATGGAAAATGCCACTTTCACAGTTGACTTAAGTGCCGGCACGTGCGTGGCCATGCATTTGTTCTTCATTTAACACAAGCACATTGACGTTGCGATAAAATATGACCATAATGAATTACTCGCCCATTATATTTGTGAGCAACAACATCAAAGAACATCAAATAAACTGAAACCCAGAGAAGAAGGAGCATACCTACGATTGTAATGTGCACAATTGAGTCCGCAAATTTAAAGTAAATTTTTTTGAAATGCAAACAAATAAGAACTTTCAAAAGTCAGTGAGTTACACAAATTCTTTGTAAAAAACTGGTTTCGAGTCGAAAGCAGAAATTTCCGTATTTTTAACTAATTTTAATTCGATGACTGATAAAAAAAACAATAGAGGAAGCAAATTTCGGCAAGCCGAAGTTTATATGCCCTTGCAGTTATTACAAAACGGCTAAATTTCGATTTCTATGCATATATTATTAAAAACAATGAAGCTATATGATATTGTTGTCCGATTTTAATTTATTTAACCGTAACTCCATAATATTTAAATATAACAAAATCCCAAATTCTTTGACGGAAGAACAGACGGAAATGCAAAATTGCAAACTTTTGACTGAAATTATAATACCCTCTGCAAGGTTATAAAAATAAGAAGAATGTAACATAAATGGGATATAATTAAGTTGAAGTTTGCATTCTTATGATTATGTTTATTTTTGTTGGTTTTCTCTTTCAATGTTTTTAAGTATCCACAAAAAATTAAACCACCAACCTAATCCCCTAGGTAAAGTCTGTTCGATATCCCGCTCAACATTTGGTGAAAAAGATACAAAAATTCCTTTTGTTACCTGAATAATGAAAATGTTTTCATTCAGCTAAGACTATGAAAAAAACGATAGAATGCAGGATCTGGGTCTAAAGAGTGTCGAAAATATCTTTTCTATAATCCATTTTAAATAGGATGGCTTGGTATTGTTTCTAAATTATTTAATCCTTTGTGCGCCCTTACTTATCGAGTTTGGATCTTTTTAGCCATCTTAAGCACTGCCCCTGATGCGGTTCAGTCCTTTGATGCTGCTTTGTTAGTGTTTCTATACCCTTGCAGAGGGTATTTACATTTCAGTCAAAAGTGTGCAACGCAGTGAAGGAGACATATACGACCCTATAAAGTATTCTTGATCAACATCACCAGGAGAGTCGATCTAGCCATGTCCATGTCAGGTAGTATATAGGTCGGAACGAGCTGGATCGGACGTCTGTATCATATAGCTGCCATATAACTGAACGATCGGAAATGCCATAACTTTGGTGTTTTTAAAGATAGTAACTTTTATGGGTTTTATTTTTGGCAAGCCAATATAATTTACAGAATATTCTGCAAGAGTTATCAACTTCGGCTACGCCCGAAGTTAGCTTTCCTTTCTTGTTTTTCTTGTTTTTATACCCTTGCAGAGGGTATTATAATTTTGGTCAAAAGTGTGCAACGCAGAGAAGGAGACATCTCCGACCCTATAAAGTATATATATTCTTGATCAGGATCACCTCCTGAGTTGATATAGCCATGTCCGTCTGTCCGTCTGTCTGTCCGTCTGTCCGTCTGTCTGTTTCTACGCAAACTAGTCTCTCAGTTTTAAAGATATCGAACTGAAACTTTGCACACACCCTTCTTTCCTTTGCACGCAGTATATATGTCGGAACGGCCGGGATCGGCCGACTATATCCTATAGCTGCCATATAACTGATTGATCGGAAATGCCATAACTTTGATGTTTGTAAAGTTAGGAAGCTGGGATTTTCTATAGGTTTTATTTTTGGACAATCAACCCGACCTATCAAATTTCATAAGGATCGGCCGACTATATCCTATAGCTGCCATATAACTGATTGATCGGAAATGCCATAACTTTGGTGTTTGTAAAGTTAGAAAGTTGGGATTTTCTATGGGTTTTATTTTTGGCCAATCAATACGACTTACCAAATTTAATAAGGATCGGCCGACTATATCCTATAGCTGTCATATAACTGAACTATCGGAAATGCCATAACTTTGGTGTTTTTAAAGTTAGGAAGTTGGGATTTTTTTTGAGTATTAAGAATGCATCATATGAATAATTTTGGAGAATATAATGTACATAATATTCTGCAAGGGTATATCAACATCGGCTTCGCCCGAAGTTAGCTTTCCTTTCTTGTTAGTGTTTTTTTTTGTTTTTTGGGATGTGGTAATAAATACTAAGGAATTATGGTTTTAATCAAATTCAAATAGGAAATCTATATCATATAGCTCCCACAGAGAAATCGAAGAAATATAAAAAAAAAAAAAATTATTGGAATTTAATATAGTTAATAATTTCAATATAGTTTTTAACATGCATGATGTTTGAAAACTAAAAACTTACACTTGGAATGTTATCACTATTGCAAACTTGTTCGGACAGCAGTCGATCCCGTATTTCCCACGCAAATATGCTGGGACATTCCCGTTTATAATCAGCAATTTTTTGTACGACCGGGGTTGTAGCTACTCGTGGTTTTGAACCACCTATCGCTCGAGGTTTAATCGATCCTGTTTCATAATATCTAAAAATGAAAAGAAACATTTTCAAAAGTTATCTTTATGTTTTTGGGCTATTAGCAGTTAATAATAAAGAACGACATATTTAATGAGAAGATAATAATAAGGTCTGTTTATATACTTTGGAATAGACAATGCCTGTAACTATATCCTTGCAGAGCACGTTATAATTTTTAGCAGAAAATTTGTACCGCGGCTGTATAAAAGAAACATACCTCTTTATGATGTGAAAAAGTAAGGATCGCCCCTTAATAAAAGTTTTTTCACTCAATTTGTTCAATATAGTTTTTATAGAGTACAATAAACCGGACTTACCAGCTCCAATTTATATAATTATTACCTTTTTACTTTTACGGAAAGAGAATAATAAAGAGAATAACTGAAGTTTCATCCAGTGAAACTTGCCAATAAAATGCCTTTGATACAATACATTCCGCCAAGCCAACAACAAATTTAATTTCTGCTGTCGGCATTTTGTTTTTGTTAAATCGCTCAAATTGATTTGTTTCTGCTAATGGACAGTAAAACCCTACCAAACTTAGTTGGGATGAACTGCACAAAGTGTTGACACTAGAAAGACTATATCTATTCAGCTGGCGAACGCCTAAAAATTCCAATAGAGCCAAGTAAAACAAAAAGATTGTAGGCAACAGCACACTTTTCGCTGTTGCGAGTTCCAGCGTCTTTTTCCGGTCTCCCAAAAGTGCGGAATTTGGCTTTAGCTGGTATAAAAATATGCAAAAACTAATTGTCTTACTATCTAACAATCTATATATTGTCTGAAACTATTTTTATACCCGTTACTCGTAGAGTAAAAGGGTATATTGTATTCGTGCAAAAGTATGTAACAGCTAGAAAGAAGCGTTTCCGACCCTATAAAGTATATATATTCTTGATCAGGGTCACTAGCCGAGTCGATATAGCCATGCCCGTCTGTCTGTCCGTCTGTCTGTCTGTCCGTATGAACGCTGAGATCTCGGAAACTATAAAAGCTAGGAGGATTCTAGGAGTTCCTACGCAGCGCAAGTTTGTTTCAAAAAGGTGCCACGCCCCCTTTAACGCCCACAATCGCTTATATACGATTTTAAAAATTTAAATATTTCGGAAAAGTAAAAATGCAGTTTTATTGTGTTTATCAATACCTATCGAAATGTAGAAGAAATTTTTCAAATCGGACCATTCGTTAAAAAGTTATGCGTGATCAAAGTTTCTATCTCCATCTCCCTCGCACTCCCTTTACCTGAGTAACGGGTATCTGATAGTCGGGGCACCCGACTATAGCGTTTTCTCTTGTTTTCTTTTTATACCCTTGCAGAGGGTATTAAAATTTCAGTCAAAAGTTTACAACGCAGTGAAATGACTCTATAAATTATAAATTTTCTTGATCAGCATCACCACAAGAGTCGACCTAGTCATGTCCGTCTGTCCGTCCGTCTGTCTGCTTATACGCGAACTAGTCTCTCAGTTTTGAAGATATCGAATTGAAACTTTGCACACACCCTTCTTTCCTTTGCACGCAGTATATAAGTCGGAACGGCCGGGATCGGCCGACTACACTGGTCGGCATATATATTTTGTCATGGCGATGCCTCAGTTTATTTTTCAATTTGTATTTATTTTAAAGACAAAAATATTTATGGATTGTACATAATTCATTTAGTTACAATGTATTAAATTATATATATAACAATTTTTCATTTTTATTTCATTAAAACTAAAAACAACGTCATTTCATGGGTGGCGTAAGTATTTTGACATTTTTTTTTCGTTTTATTTAACTATAATGTATTAGAAATTTATTATAAACTGGAAATTAATAAAAAATATAACCTCCTTTGGTGTCTATCACCTTTTGGAGGCGATTTGGAACGGAATCGACCAAGGTTTGAAGGTATTTTAAAGGAATATCTTTCCAGATCATTGTGACCTCAGTTATGGTTTCTGCTTTTCTCCTGGTCAGATCAGTGCTTTTATTTCGCTTTATTAGCGACCACACATTTTCAATAATGTTTAAGTCAGGACTTTGTGGTGGCCAATCGAGGGTTTTCACCCCAACATCTCTTAAAAACCTAGTAATCATTTTGGCCTTATGGCAAGGAGCGTTGTCCTGTTGGAAAATAAATTCCTTTCCTATTAATCTGTCGCCGGAGGGAAATGCATAATTGTTTAAGGTATATAAATATCGGTTCTGGTTCATGGATCCGTCGATAGGAACCAAGTCTCCCACACCATTATAGGAAACTGATCCCCAGAACATAACGCTTCCACCACCATGGCTTACTCTTTGACACACAGGAGCAATTTTTATACCCTTGCAGAAGGTATTATAATTTTGGTCAAAAGTGTGCAACACAGTGAAGGAGAGATCTCCGACCCTATAAAGTATATATATTCTTGATCAGGATCACCTCCTGAGTTGATATAAGCATGTCCGTCTGTCCGTCTGTCTGTTTCTACGCGAACTAGTCTCTCAGTTTTAAAGATATCGAATTGAAACTTTGCACACACCCTTCTTTCCTTTGCACGCAGTATATAAGTCGGAACGGCCGGGATCGGCCGACTATATCCTATAGCTGCCATATAACTGATTGATCGGAAATGACATAACTTTGGTGTTTTTAAAGTTAGGGAGTTGGGATTTTTTATGAGTATTAAGAATGCATCATATGAATAATTTTGGAGAATATAATTTACAGAGTATTCTGCAAGGGTATATCAACTTCGGCTCCGGTCACAAAATCATCCGAAATGAAGAAATCCAATTGTATTAGTTAAAGAACAAGATTCCTCAGGTAACGCTGTCGAGCTTTTATTTTTTTTTATTTTTTTTTTTCGATTTTTTAAGGCACTTGAAAGTCAAAAACACCGATTTTCGCCTAAAACGTCAAGATATTTGTTGCTCTAAGAATAAGAAATTACAAAAAAAAAAAGCTCGACAGCGTTACCTGAGGAATTTAGTTGAAAGCAACTGTGCAAAATTTCAAAACGATACGTCCGATAGATTTTGCAGGATCGTGTACACCGACTTTGAAAAGGGTAACTTTTCAGTAGAGCGTTTTAAAGTTTTGGACACCAAAAAATTTAAATACTATTTTTCCGATCAATCAGTTATATGGCAGCTATAGGATATAGTCGGCCGATCCCGGCCGTTCCGACTTATATACTGCGTGCAAAGGAAAGAAGGGTGTGTGCAAAGTTTCAATTCGATATCTTTAAAACTGAGAGACTAGTTCGCGTAGAAACAGACAGACGGACAGACGGACATGCTTATATCAACTCAGGAGGTGATCCTGATCAAGAATATATATACTTTATAGGGTCGGAGATGTCTCCTTCACTGCGTTGCACACTTTTGACCAAAATTATAATACCCTCTGCAAGGGTATAAAAAAGGGATACTCTCGCAGCCCTTAACAATTTTTATACCCTTGCAGAGGGTATTATAATTTCAGTCAAAAGTTTGCAACGCAGTGAAGGAGACATTTCCGACCCTATAAAGTATATATATTCTTGATCAGCATCACCAGGAGAGTCGATCTAGCCATGTCCGTCTGTCCGTCCGTCTGTCCGTCTGTCCGTCCGTTTCTACGCAAACTAGTCCCTCAGTTTTAAAGCTATCTGCTTGAAACTTTCCCAAAAGTTGTATTTCTATTGTATTATAAGTCGGAACGAGCCGGATCGGGCCACTATATCATATAGCTGCCATATAACTGAACGATCGGAAAAGCCATAACTTTGGTGTTTTTAAAGTTAGGAAGTTGGGATTTTCTATGGGTTTTATTTTTGGCTAATCAATCCGACCTACCAAATTTCATAAGGATCGGACGACTATATCCTATAGCCGCCATATAACTGATTGATCGGAAAAGCCATAACTTTGGTGTTTTTAAAGTTAGGAAGTTGGGATTTTCTATGGGTTTTATTTTTGGCTAATCAATCCGACCTACCAAATTTCATAAGGATCGGCCGACTATATCTTATAGCTGCCATATAACTGAACGATTGGAAATGACATAACTTTGGTGTTTTTAAAGTTAGGAAGTTGGGACATTTTATGAGTATTAAGAATACATCATATGAATAATTTTGGACAATATAATTTATAAAATATTCTGCAAGGGTATATCAACTTCGGCTCCGCCCGAAGTTAGCTTTCCTTTCTTGTTCCTACTGAAACTATAAGATATAGACGTCCGATCGGCAAGCGCTTTTACCCTAATCAAGGTATGCATAAAAAAATAAGACTTGGAAAAATTTATGTCAGTAGCTTACACACTACGCAAAAAATTCAGAAAATCATCAAATTTGGACCGATTTCACCCTATTGTTCCTATGGGAGCTATAGGATATAGACGTCCGATCGTCACGCGCTTTTATCCTAATCAAGGTATGCATAAAAAATACGATTTGGAAAGATTCATGACAATACATTTTACGCTGCGCGAAATATCTTCCATTCTTGAAAGTTATATCCGATTGTTCCTATGGGAGCTATAGGATATAGACATCCGATCGGGTCGGTTTTCAAACTTGATCTGCGTACACATGTTTTAGAACAACTGTGAAAGTTTCAGAAGTCTAGCTTTTAAACTGCGCTCGCAAACGGTATTGAAACAGACGGACAGACGGACATGGCTATATCGAATCCTCTATTGATCCTGACCAAAATTATAATACCCTCTGCAAGGGTATAAAAAGCCGCATAGGAACGATTTAAAAATGTATTGGAACTCGACATAGCTTAGATAAAAGTTCCTTCTTTATAGCTTGCGAAAATATAATCGTGTATTAAATACTGCACAACAAGGTTTTGCATTGCCTCACCTGCCAAGAATTTTGCTCACGCAGCCGTTGGAAACTTGCAGTATTCTTGAAATATCACAAGGACGTGCGCCCGAGTGAGCCAATTCGACTATTTTTTGACGCGTTGAGTCGGGCAGTGGTCGGCCATTGACATACACGCCGCCCAGCTGATTTATGCCACTGTGACCCGCCGTAGAGCACCCGAATAGGGAACTCTGCCCAACCGACGCGTGGGGATGCCCATGCATTATGTGTTCAGTTGTTAGCATCATGATTGATTTATTATACGCTGACGTTGATGGGAAACTTCGCTGGTGATATTGGTGCACGCCTAAGAATGATGTTAGAATTGGCGTAGCGTAAGAACGATTATTGCCTTTTTCATTGCTGTTAAAAGAGGGATTTCGTTGTCAACTTTGTACTTCTGCACGAAGTTATTATCTTCACATAGTAATTAAACTATCAACTATCACTTTAATTTGTTAATCTATTGGTTCTGTCTTTGCTTGTCAACTTCGGCGGGCTGTTTACCATTTCCTTTTTTTTTACTGGCTTTCCAGCTTACTAACTTGCACTTTAGACGTTTGTTTAACTAGTGTACATTTAACAATATTTAACATGATGGTCCCGATATTATCCGCCGTAGGTTCCGCAGCCCGGCGGCAGCGCCACGGATGGCGACCTAGTTTATTAATGTTCGAATAATTTGCATTCGAAATGATCAAATCGTGACGTAGCTATCGGTTTTAGTTTGAACAAAAATTTCTTTTACTAACTGGTTTCAGTGACGAGGCGCGCACTTAGCCAAGCGAAACGTTAATGAGCTCTCATGCGAAAAAACACTGGCAAGAGCAACAGCGAAAGCATCGGCCAGCCATTTTGACAGAGTCGCTCTGGCTGTCCCTTTCTTTTTGCAGTTAGCAGGAGCCGCAGTTTTACTTGGCTCGAAGTGAGATAGCTGTAGAGACATAAGGGAATGAGGAAATAGAAATACACGCACGCGGATATGGCGAATGAGAGTTGAGCAAGAAAGAGATAGCTGTTGATAAAAGAAAAGTCCACCCTATCCTATCGAAAATTGTTGATGTGTTGGTTGGTTGGTTAATAAAAAAGTAGGAAACTTTAACTTTATGAATTTAGTGATAATAACGGTGGCAAATACAACTGAATTCATACAATCGTAGATGTGTATGTACATATATGTATGTATGTACTTATCCGTCTGCGTATGCAGTTTCTTGCTTATGATGATGTTTTATCAACTTTACTGCATTTATTGTCTTAAACATTTGGTGGCACAAAAGCAAATATTTAAAATCTTGAAAATCCTGTTTAAAACATTTAAAGTGTATGCATGCAAATTGTTCAATATAGAACTTAAAAGATTTATGTACCGAAAGCAAATATAAAAAACACTGTACATTTGTATACAGTAATAAAAATTTACAAGTTTCTTATGGAATATTACAAAATGTAATGAAAAAGGGGAATTAAGAGAAACTAAGTAAATTCATATTTTGTAAATAATCGTGTTTATAGAAAAAAGGGAATAAAAAAATTACCTTCAAAAATGTGTATCAACAGGACAAAACATAAAATATTTAGGCGTTACAAAATTCTTAATTAAACATATGTACATATATTCGAAATCGGACTTCGGTTTGGTGTGCTAAAACGCTTTACTAAGCACTACACAAATTTTAAGAAGCAAAATACAATTTTTTTCTTGAATTTTGATAAGCTAATAATAAAAACGTCATGAGTTTAACTTAACATCTTTGAATCAGCTTCAAAGCACTGTCTAGTTAACTTATTTGAAAGCAAATCTTATAGGATATGCCCCTTAGATTTTTGTACCCAAGCTGAGGGTATTATAATTTTAGACAAAAGTATGCAACGCATTGAAGGAGACATTTCCGACCATATAAAGTATATATGTACATATATTCTTGATCAGCATCACCAGGAGAGTCGATCTAGCCTTGTCCGTCTGTCCGTCCGTTTCTACGCAAACTTTATATTGCAGGTAGTATGTAAGTCGGAACGAGCCGGATAGGGAGACTATATCAAATAGCTCCCTTAGGAACACCTTACGAAAATTGCGAATAAATAAATAAAACAAGACTAGCTTTTCAACTTTGAAAATGAGCACTGATCTACTAGGGAAGATTTATGATCAACTATAGCTACATAAGCTTTCATGATTGATCTCCTGCGCTTACTTTTATGAGCTGACCAAAACCATTTGAAATGAATCAAGCTGTAGATCATTGCACCTGAAGACACATTAAGCTACTGCGCTTTGATTTGAAATAGATAAATGGATCGATTAGCTCATAAAAACAAAAATAACTAGGACTTGTTGTGGTCCTTTTTTCGAGTGTATAAGACTATTTTATTTATATTAGTATTTAGATTAAAGATGAACAAAAAATATTCATTAAGGGCCAACGCGTTAACCATATAAGCCGTTTAGACTTCTTCTTGCATTTACATTTTCGATATCTATTATTTACAGAAATTAAACAACCAAGTAACAGCATCCAAGAACCTCAACCAACCCCCAAAAAGCCACCACTGAGCTTACGTGCACTCAACATCCTGTCCGACACGTTTTTAGGATTTTTGAAGTCACACGCACCAACGAATCCATTCCGCCTCCCCCCCATTTTTTCATTATTTTAGTGCCGGCATCCAGTGTGCTGGGGTTCTTCAAAGGGGAACATTCTCGGAACGACTTTTTGTCATTCCTATTGCGTGTGCCTAAAATTTCATGGCGCATTGTAAAGGTGACGAATCTGATTTTCCTGGAATGTGTGAAAAACGTTAATTTATTTTATTCTGTGTGGTGTTCAAAAAGTAAGAAAATGTATGAGTATAAATGTATAAGCACAGTCGATTGCTTTTTTAATTATGATTTAAAATTTCTTTCAAAGTTTTTATTGTTTTTAGTTACTTATATTTAATGCCTTAAAAACTGAGGCTCATAAAACTAGGTATACGTTTTAAACATTACATACACGAAAAAAAAATTGTATGTAAAAAATATTTGTTTTTGTATGTTACGTTAAGTAGATTTGCCTTTCATCAATCTTGGGATTTGCATGGATTATAACAGGGGTATTCCAGAAGTCTTACCCAACCAATAGTCTGAAGAAACTCCCGAAACACTGAACTTTGACAATTTTGGAACACAAAAACGATTTAGGATTTAAGATTCAATGGTCAGACATTTATAAAAAAGAGATTAATCAATGGAGATTTTAGAGTATTAGTTCAGTCCTTGTAGGTAAAACAGAAATTGATCAGGGAGCAAACTTAATTGCAAATTCGTTTCAATCAGCTTCGGTTTAGTATAACTCTTTGGCAGTCTTTTCCGTCATTTTTAGATTTCCGCAAACACATTAAATCGCACTAATCGATTCTACGAGGCTACAATATATATAATTCTTGTTTATTTTTACCAGTTATCAAAAAATTCGAGTACTGAAGATCTCAGAGGCTTAAATATATGTATCGCATACAAACGGAGAAGCAAGTGCTTAAACTCCCATGCTACATTTTGCAAGCATGAAATATGTTAATACAATATAACAATAGGATTTCAGACAGGGTTGAAAACGCAGGACTGAATAAAATAAATTCCTAGCGCATATATTGAGGTATCTTAATACCGCGATAATAACTGAACTTTAACATAGCGCTGCCAAAAGAAATATTAGAATTTGGCACATTTGCCGACACTTTGCCTGGGTCATCGGGATTTATCTGAAAAATTCTTATCACATGTCGCAAAATTAGTTCCAGTCGACGATTCGAACAAGCATGTCGAGCACAAAATCAAAAAGAAAAGGGGATCAGCTGTTATTTTTCACAATGCGGTTTCAGCGACTCCAAAATTAATGACTCAAAATGAAATGCGGAAAGTTATGCTGTCAACAACACTTGTTGTACTGAATTGAAGAAGGGGCTGGGTGCTCTTTTTATTTTCTCAGCGGCCCTCCAATGGCCATCTGACTAGTTTCACAAAGCTTTTGTTAAAAATGAATAAAATATAATTATTTGGCTTAACTAGTATCACAGCAGCTGGAAATGATATGAAAAGCTTGGTACTATCTTCCTTTGAGCTTCTCTATTTCAGCTATAGTTTTCCTGTTTTTGAATCTTACAAAACATTCCAAAAAACGAGACAAGGCAAACTCATAAACCTTTAGACATATTCAAGTTGTGTTAGATTTTTTTATTGTAAACTTAATTAAATTGTCAGTGCTTATTTATTTGGTTTAATGTTAGCAAATTATCTGTAAACTTAACTCTAAGTCTTTCCGAATCAGGATATCTTTGTTATAGACATAAAGTTCACTTTTATGTAGTGTTTTGGAGTTTTGAACTAAGAAACACTCAGATCTCACATTAGACACTTCGAAAAATTAAATTTTTTAATCTCAGGTCTGGCATTTTTTCGTTGATCTAAAAAAAGACCAACAGATTTCGTCGATCTGAGTACTTGGCTTGAGCTGTTTGTCAATAAAACCAGCTAATTGGCAGTAAGACCGTAGCACAATAAGTGCTGATGAACTCTCAAAAATACGGTCACACGGGAAAGAATAAGGTTTTTCCGCTTACGAACTTCCTTTTCGATCTGAGTACTATGCTTAAGAAATGTTGACCGAGGATATATCATACCGATAAGAAGTCATAAAAAGTTTTTAAGTTTTTAGTTCAGGTTATTTTAGGCCACCTGCAATAATGAGTAGAGATCAGAAAGCGTTAATAGCAAGCAGAAAATAATGCTCTCTGAGTGCAGCTTGTAAAGTAAGATGACTTCCACAATAGTAACAATTTTTTAAGGAGTAAAAGGTTGATCAACAGAATTAAATGATTTGCTAAAGTCCTTAAAAACAACATCCGTTTAAATGTAGTTTATAATGGAATTTCTAATTACTGAGATGAACTTCAGGAGACTTGTTGATGTTGTGCAGAGGAAAATTTTAAGCAGCATCATAGGTCCAATGCAGTTCTCTAAATCTAAAAGCTTTGGAATCGCGCTAAGTTTTTCCATTACTATACCTCAAAGGAATATTTTAATAAATAGAAAAAAACAGCGAAATACATTATTTTTATTTTTTTTAAATTTTTTTTGGGAGTTATATGATATAGATGTTTGATTTTAATTTAATTAAATCCGTAATTCCATTGTATTTAAATACTACCAAATCCCAAAGAACAAAACAAAATTAACAAGAAAGGCTTCCTTTCTTGTAAACTCCGGCAAGTCGTAGTTTATATACCCTTGCAGTTAATACAAAACGACATTTCGATTTTTATGCCTATATTACCCAAAACAATCAGGCTAAGTCGATTTTGCGCTGCATTTTGCCATCGTTTCTATGACAGCTTTATGATATTGTTGTCCGATTTTGACAAAAGTAAATAATTACTATATCTCAAAGAAACATTTTCATAAATAGAAAAACAGCATAATAATTTTTATACCCTTGCAGAGGGTATTATAATTTTGGTCAGAAGTTTGTAACGCAGTGAAGGAGACGTTTCCGACCCTATAAAGTATATATATTCTTGATCAGGATCAATAGGGGAGTCGATATAGCCATGTCCGTCTGTCCGTCCGTCCGTCTGTCCGTCTGTCCGTCTGTCTGTCTGTTTCAATACCGTTTGCGAGCTCAGTTTAAAAGCTAGCGATCTGAAACTTTCACACTCGTCCTAAAACAAGTGTACGCAGATCAAGTTTGAAAACCGTCCCGATCGGATGTCTATATCCTATAGCTCCCATAGGAACAATCGGATATAACTTGCAA